ACATTTTACCCCCACCCTAAATTCTGCTCCCCAGAAGAGGCTGAACGGATGTGAGGAGTCCAACAGCCTGAAGGTGCACAGGGAGCCCACAGGACTGGAGGGGATGCACATGCGTGACCCATTTTGAGTTGTCTGGGTCCAGAAGACCAAGGAAAGAAGCCCAGCTCCCCTTGCTAAAGGAAAAAGCTTACCTCATAGATCAGCATACTGTGGCTGAACTGCTCTCTGGAATTGCAGATAATGCAAGGAATGAATCTACCTTTTTTCACACCCTAGCAAGTCTGTCAGTAGAATTGTCTTCAAACCTTAGAATCACAGTTGGGTAAAGGGGTCGTAAACTGATGCTGACAATGGAGGCCCAGGTGTAGGGCAATTAAGGAGCCATCATCCACTAGGCAGAGCTCCAAAAAGGAATCTTCTTCACTGAGAAGCTAAACTAAGCCACCCTTCCTACAAAGTTCTGTTTTTTGGACATTTCTTTCACACCTGTGTTCTGTCAGCTTCTGCTGAGTCATCCTGTAGTGATGACTCCTAGATCTCAATAGTTACCTCCACAAAGGTTTATTTGTCGCTCATGGTTCACAGGTCAGCTGTGGTCTGCTCCGCCTGGGGACTGCGGGTTAGGAGCACCCCACCTGGGACGTGCTGCTTTGGATCACAGGGAAAAGGAGCAACGACACAGCTGGGCCAGACACCTCATATTCCTTCTCAGAGGTGACAAATGTCATTTTGACTCACAATCCATTGGCCAAAGAAAGTCATCTGGCCAAGCCTGACCTCAAAAGGGCAGGCAAGACATCCCTTCCTCAGGAAGGAGTGCCAAGGACAGGCTTGTGTAGAAGGGGGACTGGGTGTTTAAGTAACATAGTCCACCACATACCCAACTTTTTTTGAAGATTAAAAATTTATTTTCAATTAACCACAGGGAACCACTGGTTGTTTTTTGTTTATTTTGATAAAAAAAGAACTCCAGTTAATGTCTACACTGCTATATAAGTAGCATATGTTTCTGCACATTCTTTTTGGTGCTTTTTGAGCCAATGGGCACCGCTTAGAACATTGGAAGGACTAAGGACATTCTTGTCTATTGCGGGTGGAAAAAAGTAAATAACTTTCCAGATAAACTGTAAGTAAATATAATGTCCTACATTTGTGGGCGGCTGGAGAGGTCAGAAAGGTTTTCTTCCGGAAAGCCCTGTGGATGATGTCGGCAGGAGCAATGGAGGATGGGAGAAGGAACAGACGAGGGGCCAGCATCTCTGTGCCAGGCTTTGTGGGCGAGAGGCCTGGGATCTAAGGAGGTTTGGTAATTACTCAGGCTCATCCCAGTTAAAGCGTCAGAGGCAGAATTCAAATGTTCACCCTTTCTCTGACTCCAAAGCGTATACTTTTTTCTTGTGCTCCAGGATGGCTCCCCAAAGGCAAGGGACAAAGAGAGGGAAAGGTAAGGAGTGAGCAGGGGAGGAAAGTTGAGAGGGAGAAGCAGCACAGAGAGGTAGAGGAGGTAAGGAAAACGGGGATAATGGGAGAGAAAAAAGGAACGAGAGAAGATCCACAAAGGAGAAATAGTAACACTGAATGAGAAGAATAAAGTCGGAGGACTGACACCACCTGACTTCAGACTTACCTGTGAAGCTACAGCAATCCAGTGTGGTATTAGAGAAAGAACAGACAAAAGACAAAGCACTGACTTGGAGGACATGTCTGAAAAGTGCATATCTGATAAAGGGCTGTTATGCAAAATATACAAAGAACTCTTAGATTCAGTAATATGAAACAATCAGATTTTAAAATGGTCCAAACAATTTGGTACATGAAATGGTGCTTACCAAGTACCTGAAGAAGGCACCTGAAACAGTTCTCAATATCAGTAATCATCAGGGAAAGGCAAATCAAAACCACAATGAGACATTACCTCATACCTGTTAGAATGGTTACTATCAAAAAGACAAGTGATAACAAGTGTTGGTGAGGATACGCAGAAAAGGGAATCTTTGTGCACTGTTGGTGGAAATGTAAATTGGTACAACTACCATGGAAAACAGTATGGCGGTACATCGAAAACTTAAAAATAGAATTGCGATATGACCCAGTAATCCCACTACTAGGTATATATCAGTGAAATGAAAGCGCTGTCTCAAAGAGATACCTGCATTCCTATGTTCATTGACTTGTTATTCACAAGAGCTAAGACAGGCAAACAACCTAAGCTCCACCAACAGATGAAGGGATGAAGAAAATGTGGTGTGTCTCGTGCACACACACACACACACAAATATTATTTGTCCATAAAAAAGGAGATCCTGCCATTTGTGACAACATGGATGATCTTGCGGGCATTAGGGTAAGTGAAGTAAGTTAGGCAGAAAAAGGTAAATACTGTATGATCTCACTGACATGTGGCATCTAAAAAAACAAACCAAAAAAAACTAATAGGAATACAGAACAGATTCATGGTTGCCAGAAGCAGGGGGTGGTGGGTTGAAGAAATGAGTGTAGATGGTCAAAAAGTACAAACTTCCGGTTGTAAGTTTTGGGGATGTAATATACAGAATGCCGATTCTAGTTAACCGCACTGTATTGGGTATGTGAAATTGGCTGAGAGCGGATTTTAAAGGTTTGCATCACAAGGAAAAATTGTAACTATGTGAGGTGGTGGACATTAACTAAGCTTATTGTGGCAATCGTTTTGCAATATATACATATATCAAATCATTATGTTGTACATCTTAAACTAATACAATGTTATATGTTGATTATATCTCCATAACACTGGGAAAAAATGTTCTACAACATATGTCATCAAGGAATTGCCCATTAAGACAACAGTGAGATGCCACTACAGGCCTGTTAAGGTGGCCAAAATCCAAAACACTGAACACCAAATGCTGGTGAGGGTGAGGAGCAACAGCAACTCTCATTCATTGCTAGTGGGAATGCAATATGTTATGACCACGCTGGGAGACAGTTTGGCAGTTTCTTACAAAACTAAACACACTCTTACCACATGATCCAGTAATCGTACTCCCTGACACCTACCCAAAGGAGGCAAAAACTTATGTTCACACAAAAGCCTACACGTGGACATTTATAGCAGCTTTATTCATAATTGCCAAAACTAGGAACCATCCAGTATGTTCTTTAATAGGTAAGTGGATAAACCATGGTACATCTACACAATAGAATATTATTCAGCACTAAAAAGAAATGAACTACCAAACAATGAAAAGACATAGAGGAACCTTAAATGTATACTAAGTTAAAGAAACCAAGCTGAAAAGGTTACGTATTGTATGCTTCCAACTATATGACATTCTGGAAAAGGCCAAACTATGGAAAGAGTAAAATGATCAGTGGTTGCCAGGAGTTATGGAGGAGGGATGAATCGGCAGAGCACAGAGGATTTTCGGGACAGTGAAGCTACTGTGCATGACAACACAAGGGTCGATACACGTCATTATACGATTGTCCAAACTCATAAAATACAACACCCAGAATGGACCCTAATGTAAACTGGTCTTGGGGGGTGAAGATGCCTCAGTGTAGGTTCATCAGTTGCAGCAAATGTACCGCCCTGGTGGAGGCTATAGGTAACTGGGGAGGCTGTGCATGTGCGGGGGCAGGCGCTGGGCGGTAAATCTCAGCACCTTCCCTCCCATTTTGTTGTGAACGTAAAATAGGTTTCAAAAAGATACTATCATATAAAGATGAATAAACTGAGTAAAGCAAAAAAAAAAAAAAAAACAAAAAAGAAAAAAAATTGACCCTCCCTGTAGACCGTCAAAGTTCACTTCAATTCACCTTTGCGCCCCAGGCCCGGCCGTCTGTGGGCAGGTGAAGGAAATCACTCCAGAGTGAGGCCGGGCACGCCCCCTGCGGGGTGGAAAAGGGGCTGCTTCAGGCCTGGCCTGAGCCTCCAGCAGGAGGCGGCACGTGGAAACCACCGCGGAAGCTCCGCGAAATACCAATGCGGCGCCCCAGCGCCCACCGGCCGCGGCTTTCGCCCTAGCCGAGGACCAGGAGTTGAAAAACATTCGCATCCATTCATTCAGACGTGCTGCTCGGGCTGAGAATCTTCGTGAGAGAGCGGCAGCGGGGTGGGGTGAGGGGCCTGGGCGTCCGGGTCAAAGCAAAAAGAAAAGGAGAAAGCTGCTCCCCACACGATCACACTCTTGGGTGCTCAATGCAGCCGTGCGCTTTCCAAGGGCCTGCGGCCTGGGTGACAGGCTGTCATTAGCTTTCGCGTCTAGAATGGTGTCCCCAGGGTAGATGCACTATCTGCCCCGGGAGGAGGCGGGCTAGGGTCTGGGGTCTGCTCAACTTCGGGGGCATGGTCGGGGACCCCACCCCCCAATACACATGTATATTTTACAGTCCAGGAGCGGGCGTCAAGTGCCGGCAACGCGTCTGCGCTCCAGGTAAGGGCTTTGTCACTTTCACACGGTATCGTCACGAAGCAGGCGATTACGCCGCTTCCGACTTAACCTTGGTGACGCGCGGACGAATGGGTGGGTGACCGTGTATTCTTTGGAACGAACTTTCTCCTACACTCGCTAACGGGCCGCCTATAAAACTAAAAACAAGCAAGCACACAAATATTTAAAAAAAAAAACAACGCTTTCGCGAGAACGAGCACCAAGATAGAGAAGTGCAGCCAGTACAACAGCGTCGCCAGTGCCCGGTTGGTGGCTTCCTTGTCACCGGTCGCCAGAGTGCCCCAAGCCCTCTCCGCGCCCGCCAGCTATTCCTTGCTTCGCTCTACAGCCAACGCTGCCCTCGGCCTCGGGGGAACTCACTTGGGACCCCGAATACCTTGTGGACCCACTGGGGTAAGGGCCAACCACCCCGCACCCCACGCAACGGCTCCCCTCCCGGACCCTCGTGGCACACGCGTCGGCCTCGCGCCCCCCAGCGATCGCCAGGCACCTGTTGGGGAGGCTGGGACGGGAGGAAACCGGAAACGCGTATCTCGGGGCCGCCCTCCGCGGCCGCCTGCCGGTACAGCCCCCTCCAGGCCCAGCTCCTGCCTCTCCTACCCTTTGAGGCCGGTAGTCTCTGCGTCCGGCCTCGGGGAGGGAGAGCTCCGCGCGCGCCAGGCCGGGCTGCCTCGCGAGCCGTAAGTAGCAGAGAGGCCGCGCCTCGGCGCGGGTGTGTCGCTGGCCCCGCTTCGGGGGCGGTCTGGGCGCACCCTCGGCCCTCTTCCAGGCAGCTCTCAGAATTCCCGGGTGGGCGTCCCGGGCGGCCGCGGGGTCGCGAAGGCCCCTGTGGATCCCTCTCCAGTCTCGCAACTCCACCTCCGCGGGTTCCCGGAGCTCTGGGGCCCTCGAGAAGGAAGTGCGGTCCTGTCCGCACTCTAGAGGGCGGGTGGCGGCAGGTTTGAGGGACTCCGGGAAGGCCTCCTAGCCGCGGACCCCCGAGTCTGTTTAGGACCCGGGGCCGCGTTCTCCCCGCGAGCGACTCGGAATCCACGAGTGCTTTTCACTTCCAATCTCTAGGAGAGGAAACTGAGTCCACCGTACACATACAGCTAGGTTCAGAAAGTAGGATCATCAAGCTGATAACAGCCGACGTGCAGGTGCGGGTCCACGGTTGTCACTAGGGAATACACCGCTTGGGAGGCGGTGGAGGCAAGACCAAAACCAAAACCAAAACAAGAACCCCAATCAAAAATACCCTACCGACTGCAGCGAGATCCAACGGCAATCGGCGCCGGCCTAGGCAGTTTAGAAAGCGCTCCTTTCTCCCTACACCTGAGCTGGCACAGCCGTCCCGCTCACCCTCAAGGCCGCTCTGAGTCCCAACAGCGAAGTGTGCAGGGCATCTTGTAGGAGTCGTACCGTTCTGGGTGCGTTTGCCTAAAGACACCCTTCGGCATGAATTCAGAGCCAAATCTCGGTTCCCAGAAGACCGAGAGGAGGAACGATGTCAAAGGAATGAGGCAAAAGCTCCCCCTACTTAAGATTATTCTTTTGAAACCCTAACCCTTTAAAAAGCATTTGGGGCCACCTAAGAGATAATGTATTTTTAGGCCAGAACACGCAGGAGTCTTTTTGCCCAACAGGTGTAAGGGAGCAGAGAGCTGGCTCAGTCGAAATGGCCCTGGTGCCCTATGAGGAGACCGCGGAAATGGGGTTGCAGAAATTCCACAAGCCTCTTGCCACCTTCTCCTTTGCAAACCACACGATCCAGATTCGGCAGGACTGGAGGCAACTGGGAGTCGCAGCGGTGGTGTGGGACGCGGTAAGCAAATCCTGGGGGGACCTCGGAAAACATCTGCAATTGATTATAAGACTGGTCTTTATTGTAAAAAATAAAAACAGCTTTATTGAGGTATAATTCATATACTGTACACTCCACCTAAAGTGTACAATTAAGTGATTTTTTAAAGTAAATTTAGAGTGGTGCAACCATATTCAATTTTAAAATATTTTCATCACCCCACCCCCTCCACAAAAAAAATTCTACCCATTAGAATCCCTTTCTTACCCATCTTCCCCCAAATAGGTTGCATTTCAAGGGTGAAGGAAAGAAAGTTGGGGGAAATTAAAATATCGCACAAAGAATATTGTAAAATGACAAAGCCCGAAGTGACGATCATGTGTTTTCTTTAAGTTTTCTATAGTTGTAATGGTTGCAAAATTATGCTCTAATTGCTTTTTTTACTTCTTCCTCTCGCAGCACTGTTGTGAGCTGCTTGTGAGACTGACTTGCCCTCAGCCTCTAGCACCACATCTGGGATTCAGTGGGAGCTCATTTGATGTGAGATAAATGATTGGTGTAGATACAATTTTACAGTCTTTACATTGTATTAGGGAAGTGAGAGGAACATTTAGGAATAAAAAATATATTCCAACCCCGTAATACTTCAAGGAATCTATCTAAGGTAACTACATGACAAGTACTCCTAGACCAAGTAATAGAGGTACATAATAGTGAAGAATGAGTGAGTCTCCTAACTGCCTACCAAAAAGAGGAAGGGCTAATTATACTAATACTATGTGGCCATGAAAACAAACAATATTTTAAAGTTATGTTAACAGTATACAGTGCTTCTGTAGAATAGTATGCAAATGCTAACTCACACATCAAGTGTCCAGAACTTTGGCTGAAACGAACCTTCTGGTGTCCGATAACACATGGCCAGGGCCCCCGGGGGAGACAGCCGTCGGGGATGCCGGAGGGAGGACCGTGGCTCCGGGAGCCCTGGGTGCTGCTGTGCTTTTTCCCTCTGGGGGACGTTGTGGCCTAGCTGCTTTGAGCTTGGTTTAGAAACTAAGAGGTTCCCTTAAGCAAAATCACAGAAACTGTCCAGGCCAGCTCTGCCAGAGGAGTTTGGAAGCCTCCAGGGTAAAGCAGTGTCACATTAAGAAATTAATCTTCCCAGATGCAGAAAGACCCTGTCTTGTGTGGGCAGCGTCGCTGACCACGACTGTCCCCATGAGAGCCCTCGGCAGGGCCTGGGGCACCTGTTCTGCGGGATGCCGCGTCCGTGCTTGCTCAGGAGCTTCCCTCCCCGCAGCCCCTGAGTTCCTGCCTGTGCCCTCCGACTGGGACCCAGCCTTGCAGTGGGAGGGGGGTGTGATGTCTTCCTGCCAGCGCAGAGCCTACTTGAAACCCTTCAGCTCGCGACCTAGAGCACTTGCTGACCTTCCTCATAACTACCCTGTGTTTTGACTCAGGCTGTCGTTCTTTCCACGTATCTGGAGATGGGAGCTGTGGAGCTCAGGGGCCGCTCTGCCGTGGAGCTCGGTGCTGGCACGGGGCTGGTGGGCATAGTGGCGGCCCTGCTGGGTGAGTGTGACTCGTCGGCGCACTCCTTCGTGAGTGGAGCTCATCGAGAGGCGCGTTTGCTGCTTTCTCGATGTAAAACCCACCGTTCACTTTCCCCTCAGTCAGCTGTGTCTCTGTCCTCTGTGCTCACTGTGAGTTACGGGCCGACACCCGGTGCTCGTACCTCCAGGGAGGCTCATTTCTTCTCTCTCTTACCTTGTTACTTTGACTTCTCATGGGAGTTTGCTTTGCCCCCTTCAATTTCATGATGCAGACAATATGATCTGAAGGTGACTTTAAGTTCAAAAAAATTATTTATGTACATAGTTTTTGAGGTTGTGTGTTTGTTGTTTTCTTTTTACAGTTTAGTGGCTTTCCCATACACTATCAGCTTTAACCCTGGGAGGTAGGTGGAGCAGTCTTTCTCCTTCATTGCTAAGGAAACTGGTTTTTGCTTTTTAAGAAGGGTTGGCCCTGCCTCAGTTCGTACTAGTATCTTATATTAAAAAATTGTTTGGACAGTATATAGTTCTGAATTGATTAATATCAAGGTTTGTCACTTCCTTTTTTGTTGGGTGTACAGACCTTAATTTAGGCCTAGAGTGTTTTTAAGCCTCATTATTTGATTGTCCATTATTGGCTCCTTCCTACAATCTCTGGTTCATACAGTTTGAGTTAGGCGATGACAGGAAAGGCCAGCTTCTGAGATTCCATGTGGAACATTCACACTTGAGTGCCTGCCCTCCGGGCTCTTGTTAAAAGGCAGGTGTGGTGGGGCCTGAGAGGCTGCATTTCTAACCAGGCCTCAGGTGATGATCACCTCGACTCCTAACTTGTTTCTGCCTTTCTCCAAACTCCCTTCTTTCTCAGTACTCCTTTCTCTGTTGAAATTCTGCCTGCAAAGTTTAATGGGGAGCAGGGGCAGGGGTGGTGGCTAAAAGTACGTATAAACTGATTTAGGTCTCTGTCTGCAGACACTGCATGTGGCCCAGATAAGACCCTTGAGGCCACACTGCCTTTTGTTCTCCTGAGGTTCGCCTTCTGTGCATGTTAGGTATTCGTTTTCATTTGCATTTTCAAACGGAACTGGGTTTCTGGGAGAGGAAGCCTTTCCACAGTCTTGCTCCTCAGAGCCCAGAGACTCAAACCACGCCTGTCAGACACAGCGGCCCAAGTTCTCTTTCCACGACTGTTAAGAGGGGAGTTGACTGGGAGGTTCATTTCCTATGAGGTTTCCTCCTGAGAACAAGGGCTCCACGCAAAACTCGACGGGCTGGTAGAACGACATATTAGTGTGGTAAAGCACATAGGTTTAGAATTATCCTTGGCTTTGACACCTCTTTTAATTTTTACGAGCTGTGTGACCTTGGGCAAGTTGCTTAACTTCTGAACTGCAATTTTCTTATATAATAAGGAAATAATTGCATTCATTCCACACGGAGGATCAAATGAGATGTGTGGGAAAATCTGTTAGCGCACTGATGGGCACAAAGTGCTCAAGGAGTATCGATTGCCTCTCTGAGTGTCTCTGTTTCTGACCTAGAAATCTGGCTCTGCGGGGTTGGGCCCGTCAGGATAAGGCTCCTCAAAGACTATCGCAGAGCCAGGGTCTAGTGAGCTGTTGCCGCCGAAACACCAGGGCGGTTCTGGGAGCGGCTAGAATGGCCGGCAGCCTTCTCGCCACTGGGAGGTGGGTGCTCCCCGCCCAGCTTCACGGTCACTCTGAGTTCTTTCCTGCCCCAAAGCAAAATTAATTGCTGCCATAGTTCTTTCCCCCTCTGTGCTCGGTACACTCCCCAGCCCTGTCCCAGCGCCGTGACATCCCGGTCCCCGCAGTCCGTGCGTGTGTCTGCTTCCCCTGGCTCCTGAGGGACGCGCTCTGCACGCCTGGTCTTCTGTTTTACTTCACACATTGTATCACAATATGTTTATGGCTCTTTCCCTCCTGAGACTGAGTTCCTAGAGGCCAAGGTTTACCTTGCTCCTCTCTGTAGCTCTAGCACGGAACAAGTGCCTAAATATTTGAATAAATGAAGTCATTATTGACAAAACTAAAAAACGAGAAGGGAGGACAAACGTTTACACATCCTTTTTCCAGTACTGAGCGAGTGACAACAGGCTTGGTTTTCTTGCTGGGTCCGTTTCCATCAGTCTTTCGTGAACTCTTACCTCACTTCCCTCCTCCTCACTTCCCTCATTTTATCTTCACCTTTCCCACCATTTTCACATACCCTCAACACCCTGCCCTTCCTCGCTCCATCGTCTTCACGAGGCTAAAAACAAGGTTAAGTGCAGCCCCTCGCCCTGTCCCAGGCACAGACCCGGGCGGCTGAGCATCCTGGAGGGACGCACTGCTGCTGGTCTCATTTCAAACTTGCCCCCAGCCGCCTCAGAGGGGCTCTGCTGCTGACCAGACAGGCTACTCCCTCTGCTCTCCTGCCAACCTAGTCCTCCTCCCTCCACTCTCCCTCTTCGCGGGTGCCACTCACTCCGACTTCCCGACTTCCCGGAGGAGACAAGCAATCGGAGGACTGCTGTAGCCTCCGGCCCCGCCCCCGCCCCCCCCCCCCCGCCCCCCATCCCCCCCCCCGCCGCCACCTGCCCCACGCTCCGCCCGATCATTTCCATCTCCCATCTTCAAAAAAAAAAATTTACAAACTTCATAAGTGGCTGATTCTAGGTCTGTGGCAGGATATGAGTAAGAAAACCCTGGAATATCTTGTTAGACCAGATAGTGAGAATGTAAGATAGTGAGAGAGGAAGGAAGCTATCAAGACTGACATGGGGTGGTGTCAAAAGTCCACTGGCAAAAGATAGGACAGTTTGAACATCAATAACGATAATGGCAATGGATTTAAATACATCAAATATGTTTAATCCATGAGTTCAGGATACTACAACAACAACAACAACAACAACAACAACAAAAGAGCCTAAATAGTCGTCTGTGGAGGATGCTTAGAAACCAACTCTTTATTTTGAAATCTGGTTTATAAAAGGGAAGGGAGGGGCAACATTTATCCCTCCTTTCTTACTAAAACAGCTCCTACACACAATGAGCAAACAGATAGCCATTGAAAGAAGCTTTTCTTTATCAAAACCCCTTAACAAATAATTGCAAAAGGAATCTAACTTAAGGATCTGGGCTGCTCATATCACAAAAATAGAGCCTACCAGGTACCTCTTGAGGAAAAACACACCAGTGCCTCTGAAATAGCCTTGTTCAACAAATTAAATCAAAAATACTTACAGGATCTACAAAGGGCACAAGAACATACAAAATAATATAAATGGTACAATCAGCAAAATCCCAACTGTGGGAAACTGTGGGACACATGATCTGTTTCTTTCCTGTATTGCACAGGAAAAAAGATAGAAAGGACAGTGAGAGATTAAAAGAAACTGAAGATGTCCTCTGTACTCCTGCCCTGCAACCAACAAAGAAAATCCCAGAACAAAGCCACATGGATGGACATTTGGGTGACAAAATTCAGTGAGTGGTTCCCAGGAGAGTCAGGAGAGGGCTTGCTCATAGGTGCTGTGTTTGGAAGGTGGCTTGTGGAGGGTGTCTGGGAGTGGTTATAGCAAGGTGTACCCTACCCACCTCCACCTGAGCCACCGTGTTGGTCTCCTCAATTGTCCCTTTGCTTCTGCCTTTCCCCACTGCTGGGGGCTCTGTGAAAACCAAAGCCAGATCATTTGCACTTCTGCTCAACACTCTCCAATGGCTTCCCACTTTGATCAGAAAAAGCCAAAGCCTTGCCTTGTGTTGTTGTTTGTTTTTTTTTTCCTTTCAATTTTACTTTGTATTGTTTTCAGGTGTACAGCTTAGTGGTTCGAGAATTATGTACCTTGTATAGTGTTGACCTTGATATTTCCAGGACCCCAACTGATGTCATAAGTAGTTAGAGCAATATTATCGACTATATTCCCTACGCTGTACTTTACATATGCTGTGACTGTTTTGTACCCACCAACTTGTGCTTCTTAATCCCTTCACCTCTTTCACCTAAAGCCTTTTCAAAACAAGACCAAAGAGGCTCTGTGATCTGCCTCCCCTCCTGTTACTTCTGTGACATGTCTCCTTCCGCTTTGTCCCTCACTGACTCATTTCAGCCACACTAACCTCTTCACTGTCCCAGCTTCCGCTCTAGGTCTTTGCGCCTGCTCCCCTTGCTGGCCAGGGACATCCATCCCCCCACGTGCACTCGGTTATTTCCTCTCCCTTCTGGCCTTTACCTCACCCATTTCCCAGTGGCCCTCTCCTGCCACCCAGTCTACAATTTCTCGCCCGCCCCCCTTGCTTCCTGACATTTCATGTCCGTCTTTCCTGATTTATTTTTTCCTTAGTGCATATCTCTAACTAACAGACTGGGTATTCTTTGTAAAAACATCTATTGTCTATCTCCTCACTTGAATGTAGGCTCTGTGAGGGTGGCAGTTTTTGTCCGGTGGCGGATGGTAGCCTCTTGAATGTTTGTAGAATTGATGGAGGTTACAGGAGAATGATCAACTGACATCAAGGTCCTACGAAGACCCGTGGAGACCTGGCAGGTCAGAAGGAGCCTCAGAAACCCCTGGGACAGGCATCAGAGGGGGCCTGCGTCTGAGCACTGTTAAAATGAACACCGAGATGATGCGCACAGCACTCAATCGCTCCATATTGAGCAGAGTGCTCTGAGACTGTTGAGAAATCCAGAGATAAAGTTCTGAGTCAGACCAGGAAAAGGCTATCTGTGATTTGTGTTATCAGGAGAGATGAAAGTCTCACGGAATTCTGCCCACCAGGCAACACACTGTCTAGCAGTGAATAGACAAAGTGGTAGGCCCATGCTTGTACAATCTAACAACTTGAACATTTTCACAGTCTCCCACTCAGGACTGTAAATGCCAAACTGAATGACATACTGTCCTGACATAATGTTACAGGTCAAGATAAGAAACGTTAAGTAGGAGCTGCCTCTAAAATGGTGCTTTCCATAGCGGCTCTGGAAGACTGTGGGCGAGTGCCCGTGAATATCACAGACTGAGGAAGGGGGCAAGTGGGAAATCATCTCATGAAGGAATGGAACAAAATTTTAAACTTCAGAATCTACAGGGTCCAGATTATATAACATTACACATATTATATTGTCACTCTACTGTAGATGTGGTGTTTCGTGAGCTGACCTTATATGGTGGCTTCATTTTAAGGGTTCAGCCTTTCTCAGATATATCAGTTCAAAGAACTGAATCTTTTGTGCATGGTAAAAACCCACAAGGATGAGATTAATAAAATACCCCTCGTTAATCTCATATACTGCATGTAGAAACATAGCATGTAGAGGACGAGCTCATGTTTTAACCTGCAGTACTTTAATACAACCTAGGGATTCCTTTTTTTCCCAATTGTAAGTGAAGGTTTATTTAGAAAGTCACGGAGGGAGTAGAAATGGGCCAGCTGGGCTCCACAGGTTTGGGAACCAATTACAGGAGCAAAAGAAGGGCCCTCGGAGCTTAGGAGAGAAAAAGGCAGAGGTAACACAGGTGCCTGGGCGAAGGGAGGGGGACAGAAACGTGCGGGGATCTCCCGAGAGGGAGAGTGTGCCACAATCTAGTAATTTCAAAGCTTACCACTTTTCTATATATATAATAAATACATATAGATTGGCTATTGCATGAGGAGAAGTGGATTAGGATTTCATAGTAGCCAATTACTCTCTTCCTCAATTCTTTTTAAAGCTTTGATCCCAGAAAGCAGCCCTTCTCTGTTTTGGGTATCTTGTCATCTTCATAATCATTTGCTCCCAGATTTTTCATTCTTGGATTCCATTCCCCCCTGAAGCCTGGTGGGTCAGCTCTGCCTGCCAAATTGAGAAGCCTCAGCTTGTTGTCACTTGGGGACCCTACATTCTATAAGGTCCACTTTACTAGTCAGCAAAAGAACTACTGGTCATTCTTCCCCTCTATCACAACCACCCATGAAGGGTGTGGTCTGCATATAGGTGACATCTTTAGAGACATGCTTGACCCCACTACCTATTAGTTGTACTGATGTGCCCATTACTTTCTCTCTGTCCCACATTCTAGGTGCTCATGTGACTATCACGGATCGAAAAGTAGCATTAGAATTTCTTAAATCAAATGTTCAAGCCAACTTACCTCTCCATATCCAACCCAAAGCTGTTGTTAAGGAGCTGACTTGGGGACAGAATTTGGGGAGTTTTTCACCTGGAGAATTTGACCTGATACTTGGAGCTGATATCATATATTTAGAAGAAACATTCACAGACCTTCTTCGAACTTTGGAACATCTCTGTAGCAACCACTCCGTGATTCTTTTAGCTTGCCGAATCCGTTACGAACGGGATAACAACTTCTTAGCGATGCTGGAGAGGCCATTTACAGTGAGTAAAGTTCACTATGATCCTGAAAAAGATGTACATATTTACAAAGCACAGAAGAGAAACCAGAGGGAGGGCTTATAGTTGGCTATGATTTATAGGAACCTTGTCATTAACTGTGTCCATTAAGGTCTTAGCCTGTGAATCTAACTGTGAAATGGCTTCCTGTACAAAAAGCCTAACTAAAGGTTCTCAGGGGACAAAGCAAATGCTCAGTTTTAACACAAAGCAGCAACAAACTTTGTCCCAGTGCTGTGACTTTTTGGTCATATATTGCTCACTCAGAAACTCCATTAACATTAAAGGGACATGCGTGACTTTGGTTTATGCTCTTTCTGTAATCCCACGCTGCTCCCGCCGGAGGAGCAGTTCTCACTGATGCAGTGATGAAGGGTTCGTGTAAAGGCGACTTCAAAGCAGTGAGCTTGTTTTGTTTTAGAGACAGGCTGACTCATGCCAACCATTTAAAATACACTCTAAGGTATATATGTTTAGCCAGTTTTCCTAACTTTCTGAATATAAAACAGGAGGTTTAACATGCATTCCCTGAACTGTTAATACTCTTCTGTCTGCCCATTTAGGTCTCTCATACTTTTGGTTGGTTGAGATTGGGGTGAGTTTTCTCAGTCTCCTGTCATGCTTTTTGGCTCGATTTCAGTTTTAGGTATATAAACAAAGGAATAAGTAAAAATAAAATTTTAGTTACTTTGAAAGCATATAAAATCTTGGACCTCTATGTGCTGTGAGTATGTTATCATCTTCAAATCAAAAGCTGTCGTTTTCCCCTTCACCTTGCCCCTTTCTCAGATGTTTTTGTATTTCTTTCTGAGGCTTTCCCTGCCTACTTGTAGTGCACAGGATGACAATGAAAAAAAAAGTGTTAAATATCACCCCTCCACGAGAGGTTAGCTCCCCAAGTACAAGTTCCTTCCTCATTGCACTCGTAATTGCTTAGTCAGTGTTTGGACACCCCAGGACACAGAAGCTTCCCGAGGACCAGGAATGCACCTGCCTCTTTCATTGTTGCCTCCCCAGTATCTGGTGTATCAAACCTAATGTTAGTTGAGTGACAAAGATACATTCCATTTAGAGGATATTGATTTTTGGGTTAAATGATTGCTTCATTGTTTCATGATCGATAGATTTTATGAAGTTCTCACACACCAACAGTCCCCCCTTTTTTTACAATGTAAAAGTTTAAACGATAGCTTAAACAAATTTAGACCACAAGAATAGTATAGTCTCATATGGTATTTGATACTACAGATATGTTTCCTTTGTAAAACACCTGAAATAAGACCTCCTCCTTCCTCTTAACCTTTGAATGAATATCTTGGGTATGAAAATACCTGCTACATTGTTTTCTACAATTATTTTAAATGTTTATTTTCATAAAGGTGAATTAAAAGTTCTGAGCACCGGTTTAAAACAATTCTTACAAACGCACAAATAGAAGTGTCCATAGCTTGCCAAGTCCATAGAATGCCAGTACTGTACACGAACATGGATGGTTCTTTAAAACAGATAAAGCCCTGCAATGTCATCAATACTAATGAAAGGCCAACCACATTTAGGTATCAGAAGCTATTATATTAATTTCCGTTCAGCTCCTTTAATTTAGAAACCCCAACTTGGGAGATGGGTATTAAAATGACTTGGGGCGGGGTGGGGAGGGGGCGGAGAGTTTCAAGGTGTCCGGATGCTGTCGCAAGTGAGCGATGATTGGGTTGGCTTACATTTCCATAAAACGTGAACTAAGAATACTGTTGCCAGAACAAATGGAAAGTTTTTTGGTGTTTTTTATTTTCCTTATCCCGCTAGAAGAAAACAAAGGCAAGAAAGAGTCAGCAGGAATAGTTTGGTTGTCTAAGTGAAAATCAAGTGGTTTTTTTTGGTTCCGGCTTTACAATGGTGTCGCAGGTCCGGGTCCCCGGGGAAGAGACTCAGAGGAGGGTAAGGTGCAGAAAGGTTAAATCCGACTGCTGCCGAGATCCATGTCTCCGCAGGAGTAACAGTAGTAGGACTAGGGAAGAGGGAAAAATTGTTCCGCGATGCAGGCAGGAAATCCTCAGGGAATTCAGACCCGGCGGTCCTGCCGCTGGGCCACATTAAGGCAAGAGGCGGGACTGTATATCCTTGTGTAGCTTAGTCATTTAATTCAAGCGGTTATACCCTGGTGGTGAAGATGATACCTGCAGAGGGGCTCGGCCATCAGCCACCATCCCCAGAAGCTGAGGGAACGAGTGCTTCCGAAGGCTTTTGCGTGGGACGGCGGGGGAGAGAATGTATCTGCAAAGTATGCCAGTGTCCGCCTCCAGTATCAGTCAACAAAGTTGTGACATTTTTCACTTATGTTAAAGGGACTAATGTTTCTCATAAATGTGCATTTTAAGTGTTTGTTGTAGCCTCAAGTGAAGGATAGAAACCTAGTCCAAAATGATTGTACTAAGCCTCTCATTCTCACATTTCTATTTCTTTGAACTGTTATATGGTTATCCAGTAGGTATCAGTAACTTTTTTCCCAATTGAAATTAAATATTGCTGCCAAGGTGCTACATTACAATGTGTGTATGACATCAGGTTCTGAGAACTACCACTATAAAGCATGCTGCCATTGTTTTATAAGTTGATTACCTCTTAAGGGTGTCTTACTTTAGTTCATCAAAGAACTATCAGAAGCCCTGATAGCATCTTCAAGTAGTTTCTAGCAGAACATTTTATTCTTTTATATAAAAGGGTCAGAATTCTAATAGATCAAAAAACTTTATTAACTGAACACTGGATTGAAAACTCAGGGCAGAATAACATTGTCTGGAATGTTTTATCTTACCAAATTGCAATTTGTGCTCTTAGAAGACAAGAACTGTACCTCGTATGCTATATTGCAAGTGTTCACATGGTGCCCTCTTCATAAAGGGAGTTCAAGAAACATTCATGAAAAATACAGATTCCTTTACAGATGAGTTACCTTATTAAATTGTTTATTAAATTGCCTAATTTCTGTGCTTTATTTTTCCTTGACCAAACTAAGGGATAAGCACATTATCAGGGTTATCAAATTATCAGGCTTTCAGTTTATGGTGTTTGAGGGGTAGAAGTATTTTCTGTCAATTTTTAAGTCAAGAAAATAAAAGTTTTGAAGTACATTTATTTATCCTCACCTGAGGACATTTTTTTTTCCCATTGCTTTTAGAGGAAAGGAGAGATACAGAGACATCAATGTGAGAAACATTGGTTGGTTGCCTTCTTATACACTTCCCAACCAGGGATCAAACCTGCAACCGGGCTATGCACCCTGACTGGGAACTGAACCCATGACATTTCTGGTACATGGTACTCCTAACTGAGCCACACCCAGCCAGGACTTGAAGTACTTTTAAAAATTCCCCACCTGAGGATACATTTGATTTTAGAGAGGGAGAGAAATGTCAATTAGTTGCCTGTACTCCTGTACATGCCCCAACAGGGGACCGGACCCGCAATCTACGTATGTGCCCTGACCGGGGATGGAACCTGCAACCTTTCTGGTGTATGGACGACATGCCAATCAACTAAGCCACCTGGCCAGGGCAAAAATCCCTTTAATATTCCAGTATTGGCAAGAGGTCCTAAATACAGAGCCTGGCATAACACTTTGTGAAACACATGTGATTGATTTTAGTGTCAGAGAAAGAGTCATTATTCGGCTTCCCAGAACCCTTACCAAGACAGAAGTAGCACTTTCAAGTCCTTTAACAAGGCGGTGAGACACGACCGTGACTACAGAGAGCCCTGCTGTGGGAGACGGGAGACTTGGGTTCTCTTAGCACGGACATGAATTGTATGAAATCAGGGTAGTCCTCAGTTCTTTTTTAATACCACTTTAAAAATTAAGGGTTTGTTAGCTCTGGTTCCTTTCTGCTCTTAAATTTTATGTTTTCTTTCTATTCCCTGGGAAGGATTAAAATTTAACACTAGAAAAGATAGCATACTGAAAATTACATTTCCTTGGTGAGAACAGCTGTTTCTGAGGGAGATTGGCGGGACAAGCGTAACAGGGATGCGACCAGGAAGGCCCAACCCTACATCATAACCTTGTGAAGCCTGGTTCTGGTACTTGTAATTTTCCTTCCTCAAAAAACAAAAAACAACACTGTGAAGCTTGACAAAAAATACACCAACATATTTTAATTAATTAGCAGATTCTTAATGATGTTTACGAAACAACCTCCAAATACAAAGCAAGCCATACTTAAGACCCACTTTGCAGTATCTATTCTGGATTTACTGGCTTGTCAGTATCTCTACTAACTTATGCATAGCTGTAACAGTCAAAAGTTTTAAGCAACCTAAATGTCCACAAAAAAGGTCACTGGTTGTATTTATACAAGGGATACTACATACCTGTTAATAGACGGATGTATGTATGTACATACACTGAAATAGAACTATCACCAAGGCACATTCAATGAAAAAAGCACCACTTAAGTAAAAAAGAGGGAGGGGATGAGGAGAATCTCCATTACATTTGCGCATTTACAGGATGGGGCAAAAGGAGGTTTACAGTTTTATGTCCAACAGTTCTTATATTTAGTATTGTTATTTTCCATGCAAACTATAAACCTGCTTTTTCCCCACTCTGTATGTAGATTGGCACTAAAAGGATACGCAAGAAACTTTTTCCTGTTTGTCCATTTGTAGTTTAGTTTTTCCCAAATGTACATATCACTTAAAAAGCTGAGTTAAAATGAGGACATTATTACAAGAGTGAAAAGAAAACTTAGTAAAGAATGGGAGAAGATACCGGCAAACCATTTTTATCTGGAAGGGTCTACTATCCAGAATATATACTAACTCATGAAACTGCACAAAAAAATTGTTAAAAATTAGCAAAAGACTTGAATAGACATTTCTCCAAATGATACACAATTGGCCAACAAAAACATGAAAAGATACTAAACATTAGTCATCCAGAAGTTGCATATCAAAACCACAATGATACATCACATACATAAGCATGGTTGTAATTTTTTGAAAAAAGCAAAATAACAAGTGTTTTCTAGCATATGGAGAAATTGGAAACCTAATACTTCACTGATGGGAATATAAAATGGTACAGCCACTGAGGAAGTGTGGCAGTTTCTCAAAAAGTTAAACAATTACTGTATGATCCAGCATTTCTACTCGTGGGTATACGAGTAAATGTATACCCAAAAGAATGGGACTCAAACAAGTATTTGTACATCAATGTTACTAGCAGCACTTTTCACAATAGGCAAAAGGTGGAGATAGTCCACATGTCCATCAAGAGAATATACGTGTGACATGTATATAATGGGATATTCAGCTACAAACAGGAATAAGGTACTGATAAATGTTGAGGAAACTCAACAACTTGCTAAGTGAGAGAAGCCAGACACACAAAGTTAATGTTGTAGGATTCCATTTATATGAATTACCCAGAATAGGTAAATTCTATAGAAACAAAAAGCAGACTGCTGGCTGCCAGAGGCTGGAGGAAGGGGGAAATGAAGAGAGGGGTACAGGGTTTTTAGTGATGGAAATGTTTTGGACTAGATACAGGTGGTGTAGATTGTGAATGCACTAAATGCCATTCAATTGTTCACTGCAAATGTTAGATTTTGTTATGTGAACTGTACCTCAGTAAAAAATGAAAATAGCCTTCAAATTCCTGAAAATTCACCCTTCCTCTTCACTTGTTAGGCCATTATAATTCCAAGTCCCAATAGGGTCACTGCTTAAAATGCACAATACGGCTAACATTGATCATGGCAGTGCTTTCCTGGGTGGTTGGCTTTGGCCATAGTGGGTAGTGGCATCATCTATTAAAAAAAAAAAAAAAAAAAAAAAAGGGCCAAGGAAGAACAGATGTACAGGAGAAAGTAAGTTTTGTTTTGGACCTGTTTTACAATCTGAGTGCAGATGACAAATGAGTTTGGGACTCAGGACTAAAACTAAATGAGCAAGTGACAGCAAAGACATGCGTGAACAGAAGACAGGAACCTTATGCTTTTCCTGGAGATCCATCCAAGCACCTGAACGTAGCTGCCAAGCAGGGTAATCCTGGTTCATGTCTGTTCCTATTAACATTACCCTTTCACTCTCAAAAATGCCTACTTCTACAATGTATTACGTGGTCACTCTTTGTAGAAAATGAAAATCATGTAATTCCTTTTATACAATGACAGATGTGTAAGTACTTTAGAATAAATGCAACTGTTATTTTCAGAAAATGAATCAATAGTACGAGTCTTTTATTCTTACGCTTTTAAGCAAAGAGCAGATTAACCACATTCTCTCCTTTTATATGAAGATCACAAAACTTCATAATTTTAAGAGGACCTGAGTAGTTCTATTCTTATTGTTCTTCCAATGCAAACATGCATTTTATGACATCAGAGGCAGCTGGTCATATTCTCAATAGAGCAGTAACATCTCCAAATCTTCAAATAGGCACTGTTCAATCTTACTGAATAAAGGAATCTTGTGCTAAAAATTAGGAAGACAATAAAATTAACTGAAGAGATGTTCTTGCTTCTTGACCTAGTTTTCTGTTGCTGTGCAACACATGCCTATAATATAGTCTAACATAACTTCTGCTCATTTAATGAAATAAATGTTAAATCCAAGAAAATATAACACTACTAGCAAAAACAAGATAGCGATCCCACCCCCAAAAAAGAGACAACAGTTTTTAAAAGCATGTTTATGTGACTGCACATAAATGTGTGTAAAAGGGCATTATGACAGTTTTTACCACAAAGGTTACAGTAAGAAAAAGCACTTTATGACAATATTTCACAAATTCACAAGGATCACTTTAATATACAAAGCAATGCTACCATTCTGAACACAAAGCAGCTAATATGTACATAGTGTTAATAAAATGCTTTATAACTCAGTACATTTTTTTTCTTTATACAGGTAAAGCACAAAAAGATTTAGGTAAAAAAATTAAAACAGGGATGCTTCTAGAATGTAGGAAATTTTATTAGAAATGTATTTCCCTTATTATAGTTCTTTATTTAATATTCAACTCCAATAGCAACATCAGAGTTAAAAATCAATACCCTGTTTTGTGCTGATAATTCTGGGGGGAGGTATTCACTACCCCAATCCTCAAGGGAAAACCAAAAAGGCAAACACCTCTCTCTCTAGAAACTTCCCTGATTATTGTTTCTAAAAAGTTTCAAGTGATACATCTAGGTTAGAAATAATTCCTTTTTGGGGTGGGGATGACAACTGACATGTGGACAAATCAGTCAGAAAAAACTTTACATGGAAAACTGCTAACTAGCACTCTCCTTACCACCCCTAATCAATCTAATCACAGAAAAATGTTGACAAATTATTTCCCACTTTTAATATAAATAATTTTATTCATACACAAGTTGGAGTGGCACCTGGATAAAAATACGTCTATAAAGCATTTACCAATTCAATTTTAATAACGTAAGAAAATAAAACCTCCCAAACACAATGCTAGATCATTTCACTTGGCCACTAAGGTCATATTTGCAAGGATTTTTTTCCTTCCCTACCAATTTTTCAACTATCTCAGATTTACTTTCACATCTCTGAGATGCTTCTCAGATAGAAGCTTAGAAATGCTATACTTCCATAGGCAAGTAATAAATAACGCCTATATAAAGTAGGTAGAATTTGAATTTCCTACTGTTTGACCCTCTTTAAAGACATTTCCTGAAGATTGTTCATTTTCCATTTTCTTGCTGGTGAAAATTAAAAGTGTATCGTGTTTTACCAAGCTGGGACCTGCACCCACAGTACCAGAATGCAGACAGGTCAATATTTTCTCTCTGTGCTAAACAACTCTGCCTGTTTTATAATACAATTTTGCTTCACAGGCTTTGTTCTATTTTTTTTTCTATTTTTATTTTTTTAAAAAATAAATTTCAAGCTAAAACACCTGAAATATAATCCTTCCATTCAAACGTTATCTGGTCCCTCTTAAAGTTTGTCTGCCCCCTGAGGACACATACAAAGGCTTAAGCTACATTCACTAATCAGCAAGAACTTATCATGAGCATATGAGACAGATGGAACTTCAGCACCCTGTTTGATTTATTTGAAATTCTTCCATACTGACTCTGCTTCATGACAGGTTCAACCCCTCAGGGATTAGTGCCTTTCCTAGCCATTGATTCTAGAAAGTCAAGGAAACCAGTTCCTAGTACATACAGTGACTATGCAGTCAACTTAAAAAAGTCAACATATCAACATTAAAAGTATTCAAGATGTATGTAAGCCACTCATAAGTTCTAGTTGTGCTTTGTACAACGGAGTGAGCAAATGTCCCACAACTCTTTGCCTACAGGCAGCACACTTCACTTTCTCCCTCCTCATCTGAAATCAGTCAAAGTTAGGCAGCATTTCTCTGATGGTAACAAGGCCAATTTTAAGTGAAATAAATTTAGTCAAATGACTACATGCAGTCTCCATTATGACAGTAATTAATTGCCTTGAAAAATCTTTTACCATTCTGGACAAATCCATGGATATCCTGGCATCCTATAGACACTATTAACGTTGGGGTGAGGATAAGAGTCTATTTAAAATTGGAAATATTTATTTACTTGAGTTGCTTCCCCCCCATCTTTATCCATAATGGAAAAAAATAAGGGTTTGGACCCATCTTCTATTTAACTGGGCTAGTCAAATCTAGTTTCCTGATATTTTTCTTTTACAACTATAAGGCTAGCCTTTAGGTGCTAAAATATTTTAATCAATGAAAAGTTTTCATTAAAAAATGTCCGGTTATTTTAAGAAAGGAGAAAGACGTAAGTCAGTTGACAATTGATGAGGGAATTTCTCAAGTTGCTAATACCCAAACTGGGTCATTTTTAAAAGTGCAAGTTACACCAAACATTTACAAAGAATATAATGTAAATATAATCCAAATAAATAAACAACTTTTGTATTAAGTCAATGGGACACAATACACCAAGTTTTCAGGGCTACAAAGGCAATAAAATAAAGCCTTCTGAAACAACTGAAAAGGTACATAACCACTGTTTCTAAAACACACTTTAATTCAAAAATCTTTAAGATATAAGCTTTATTTAATCCTGCAAAACGAAGCAGCTTTTTTGATCTTCAAAATAAAAAGACCAATTTACGCTGACTGTAGCTAATCATAGAATTTAGAACCTATTAAAAGTGAAAAGAAGAAATCTAGATTGAAGTCACTTCAAGTAAGTAAAAGCATCCTGATTTAAACTTGCTGTTTCTTCCTAAGCCTTTGTATGATTCCACATGTCACCCGAACGGTCTGAGAGACAGAGATAAACTTCAGCCAGATGGCTTCTGACTGGACAGCCTGCCTGGCTGGCATTGTGCTTTCTGGTACGAGCACTGCTGTGACCTACCATGCAATTTTCTGACGAAATCCCTGCTCAAATAAAAACACCAAAACCCTCCCCTAGGATGATCTTTGAAATGTCAGTGGTACCTTTTAGAAGCTATCTTTAAAATGTTCTCACCACTGTCATAGCTGCCAGAGACAAAGCATAAAAACCAAATACTTTGGGGGTAAAGGGGAGTTTTCAAGTGACTAGTAACATATTTAAAAGTATCAAGCCAAAGAAAACAATAAAAAAAAAATACTTGGAAGAAAATTAGAAGACAAAAGAATCAATCATGAGTGCTGGAGTAACGCAGTCCAAGAAACTCCCAAAAGGTATGCAATAGAACACGCACAAATGTAAAATTTCATCTGACCTCAATATACTATAATACTTAGCATTCCTGACTTAAGAGCTCTCAGAGCTTCAGATTATATACTGTATGTATATATATATATATATGTACACATATATTATACAAATGCCATCCCCCCCTCCCCAAGAATATCTAAATGAATAGAGCACCTATGACAGTATTATGGTTGCCAATATGGTACTTGAGTTTGAAAAAGAATGAACTTAAAATTACATCTGATATCAATTTTTTTTAATAATGTGAACACATTGGATCTAGCCCTTTCTAAACCACTTTTCAGTTAAACACTATCAAAGTTTGAAAACTAAGAGTAATATCAAAAATAAACCCCTCCCACTTCATTTTCATTAGTTAATCTGTCCTATAGATAAAAGTGCCACATGGCCCTATGTTTGCAAAGTGATACCAAACTATTTTCTAGGCAAATCAGTAGCATATGTACAGATTCCTATGATGAGATTTTCATTCCCTTTTGGCCAGTAGGAAGAGAAAAAAAACATTACTGCTAACGTAGCCACATATGTTCTTGGCTGCAAGGTTTTTTTTATTATGTCATTTTCATAATAAAAACTCTCAAAGTTGCATGCTTTAAAACAAACACCTTTCCCCTAATTCTTAAGAAAAAAAAAAAAAAGTCTGCACAAAAGATGCTTAATTTCTATCTGTATAAACTGAAATCTTCAAGTCTCTCCAAGGGTCTCAAACAGATTTAGCAACAGAAGATATTTATCTCACCATTAAGTAACTGACCAAAACCAGTGCAATCATCCTCAAGGTACAAAGGACTGTCTTTGTAACTTAGAAACCCAACCAGCTAATATGGAAGTGCCTGCCTTGGTGTATCAGGGACTAAGAGGACCACCAACTTTCATATTTAGTAGAAAGCCCCAACTTTTGAAAAATGTTTTAACTTCAGCTGACAACTTGTTAACACTAGGCAATTTTCATTTATAAAGCTTGACATTCAAAATGTTCACTTTGACATTTTAACTCATTACGAAAGAATTCTAGTTGGTGAACAGATAAGTGATTTTGCTTGGTTTCTGTTAAACCAGTTTTAGAAAATGACATTATCTATGCTGGTATACAAATAACTTTTATGCTATAACTTTCCCCATTAGCTCAGCAGGATAAACATCAAACTTTACAGTCGTTTGAAAGCCTTCTTGAGAATCTGGTGTATTGTCCAAATATACTACATCACTCAATTCTTAGAATGATGATCCTTCACAAACTCTGTTCATCCTTGAAAAAAGACAATGGTTTGTTACAAACAGAAATATACCATTTACAAATATTAATTAAAAATCTTTTCAAACTGGACCCAATAATTAACATCCACCTGAATATTTTAACACATTAACAACTTTAAAAAATAACCATGACTAAATATAAAACATTAATTTTCTAGACTCTCTTCTAAAAGAAATAATCTTCAAGTGAAAAATTATATCTAACATTATGTCCGTTTCTAATTTTTAAAATTCACCTTAGTCTTTTCTTTTAGTCTTATTTTAGATTTATCAGGCTTAGTGAATAAAATGATTAATAAAAAGTAATATTGAAAACAATGTATGATACATACAAACACAAGCTGTTATATTCAGGAGTTAAAGAAGGTATCTCCTTTATAGAATGACAAAGACTATATAGCATATTGGAAGCATAAAGCATAATTATACTTTTTAGAAGAAAACAAAACAAATGCTTTTCAAGAATAATTGAAATATTGTAGTACAGCAGTCATTCAAATATGTCTGAAGAAAATTATTTTCCTTGCCACATCTAATAGTGTACTTTTTAGACCTATACCTTACAACTTCTCCATTAAAAAATTCACTAGAGATACGTTAAAGTGTGGTAATATGGAAAAGACTTAAAATAAGTATTTTTCTACAACACAGCATTTTATAAACAAATATATGACTTTGCTTTACTTAGTATCTTGAAGGCTTTCCTGTTGGTGGTATAATGTAAGTGTAAATGGGAACCGTTTAATTAGAAATTTTTTTAAAGTAAATGATTGACAATATAAATATTTTTGAAGGCGATGACAAAAAATTTATTTAAAAACCTTGAATATAACTCAGAAGGATGGTTTGAGTAAAGAGCATCTTTTTACTAAGAATTTAGCACTAACTAAAACAAGCTTTGTACTTATAGTTACTTCACTTTAATTTAAAATTAAAATACCATGCTTTTTTCATTCAGTTGGTTACTTCTTTTAATGTATTCAAACATGTTGAACACATACGGGACTGAATTAAGAAGCAACAACTGCCCTATGGAAAAGCTGTAGTTAATACAGAATATTTTTAAGAATCAAGGACAAGTTTTCAGTATTGAAGAGAATATACATAGAAAGCACTCCAAATTCATTCTCGATTTCTTCAACACCATACTAAAATTCTTTTTAGAGGGTACGTCTTTTAATGATTTTACATAATTCACAATGAAAATGTGAAAACACATCAATTTGGCAATCACACTTCTTCATTGCACCTTACTTACTTTATGCATGCGGCCCACACATTACTTCAGCTCAAGGGGCTGGGATAATTCTGTCCCTAAGGCAATCAATGCGCTCAGCACAAACCTTGGAATATTTTTAAAAAGATTTCCTTTTCCTCATTTCCCCCATTATTTTACAAGTAAACCAATTATTACTTCTTGAGGAGGGTGGGGGATGAAATGTAGAAGTCTGTCTCTTCATGATTCCTGGCGCTGGAAATTTCTTGAGGGGAGATGTGGAGGCAGGTGTTGGAACATTCACAGTTTAATGCAAAAGCACAAATGAATGAAATTCTGTAGTTGCTTTCAGGCAGTTTTGCGCATAGAAAAAAAGACATGTTTAGAAAATAAAATGTTTATTTTGTCTTTCTGATTGTGGCCAAGTCAGTTCTTTTTCCACCGTACAGGTGAAACTGAAATCCCAAACTAATCTGATTTGTGGCAGTAAAGGTCCTTAAGTGCTTTTAGCTCCTCAATCAGTGTCTTGTTTTGGTTTTCAAGTACTGCCACTCTGTTTTCTAAACATTTCACATATTCTTTCTTCTTTCTACGACACTCTCGAGCTGCTTCCCTATAAGCAAGAAAGGACAGGAAAAATTATGTAACATTTCTGTATCACTTATTTTGAGTTGGAATACATTTCTTAGAGCTTTAGCTCGTATCATTTTAATATATTATAAATTTAGCATTTAAAAAATACAGAATGAGTTGGAAATTGCCTTATATAAACATTTAATTTTATTATACTATAGAGGTCTAATGGAAAAAACCCCAAATGTGAAAACCCCACAAACAACAAAAGGGCTGAACTATCACTTAAAAATTACATTTTAAAAATGCATACCTATAAAACTTGAAATTCTATCAATATCAGTAACTAAGACAATACTAAGTTAAATTTTAGTGTGAAAAACATCCTTTAATGATCTCACAAGCTCATTTCAAGGCATTTAAAGAAGTTTAACATAAGTCTCATCATCAGACGATGTTGAGAAAACACGCGAAAGAAGTTGGAGCCTTAGCTTATACCATATACACAGTCTGAATCAAAATGGATTAAAGACCTAAACACCAAGACCAGAAAGTATACAACTTCTTTAAGAAAACATAGGGAAAAATGCTTTAAGACACTGGATTTGGCAGTGATTTCTTGGCTATGTCACCAAAAGCTCAGGCAACAAAAGCAAAAGTAATTAAGCATATGTGAAAATGCGACTACATCAAACTTAAGAACTTCTGTGCATCAAAGGACACAATCAACAGAGTGAAAGAACAACCTATGGAGTGGGAGAAAATATTTGCAAATCATGTATCTGATAAAGGAGTTAATATCCAGAATATACAAAGAACTCTCAAAACTCAACAACAAATTAAATTGATTAAAAAAGTAGGCAAAAGACTTGAATAAACATTTCTACAAAGATGATATAAATATGGCCAACAAGCACAAAAAAGATGTTCAACATCAATCTAATCATTGGAGAAATACAAATGAAAACCACAGCGAGGAATAACCTCACAGCCATTACGATGGCAACTACAGAAAAAATACAAACAGCAGATAACATGTGTTGATGGGGATGCAAAGAAATTGGAAAACTTGTGTACTGTTGATAAGAATGTAAATGGTACAGCCACTGTAGAAAACACTATATCAGGTCCTCAAAAAATTAAAAACAATTATCATATGACTTAGCAATACCACATGACTCGGTAATACCACTTTTGGGAATATATCCAGAAGAATTTAGAGCAGGAATTTGAAGAGATATTTGCACACCCATGTTCCTAACATTATTCACCATAGCCAAGAGGTAGAAGGAAAGCAACCCAAATATCCATCGACAGATAATACATTTTAAAAGTGCCGTGCATATGTAAACAATGGAACATTATTCAGCCTTAAAAAAGAAAATCCTGTCATGTACTACAAACATGGATGAAAACTTGAAGACATTCTGCTAAGTAAAATAAGCAGTCACAAAAGACAAATACTGTGACTACACTTGTATGAAGTATCTAAAGTAGTCAAACTCATAAAAAGAGAAAGAAGAATGGTGAGTGCCGAAGACTACCGGGGGAGGGGGGGCGGTGATTGCCGAAGACTACCGGGGGGCGGCAAATGGCGGAAGTTGTTTATTATTATAGAGTTTAAGTTTCACAAGATGAAAAAGTCTGGAGATCTGTTGCACAGTAATGTGAATATACTTAACACTACTAAACTGTATTCTTAAAAATGGTTAGGATGGCACATTTTGCTTTTCTTTTTTACTACAACTAAAATAAAACATTTAAAAAATTCAACAGATGAAAAATAAAAAATATTTTTTAGTGAGCTACTAAGTCACTAGCACAGGGACAGGCACAAGGCACGTACTTTCTACTGAATGAATATAGAAGCTGAAAGTAGCAAAGTTTAAAGTCTTAAAAAAATGAACCCCTCCCACCCAGGAATTTACAGTCATTCATTTACAACAGCGGCAGTATAGTACAACAAAAAGTAGTCTCTTCATTGCGTCAGATTCTTAGGGTTAAGTGGTTTTATACCTTATCAATTATGTGACCACCAGCAAATTACTTAACCTTAGTTTCCTGACTGAAAAGAGATATTATTTACCTCAAAAGTTTTATGAGAATGAAAGGAGTTAATATATGAAAAGTACATGAAACAGAGGCTGGCATTTTGTAAATGTTACATTTGCACTAGCTATTATTATTTCTAGATAACTCAAATGTCAGTCTATCATAATCCCATTAATGTTTTCATCCCTATATAGACTATCAATTCAAAAAAGGGAGCATTTTCTTATAATGCAAGCTAATCTTTGGAATTAAAAAACTGCATCCACCAATGTTGTTATGTCCATGACAAATAATGGACAATGTATGATCCACTGCAGAAAATGTTTTGGGAAATGGGTTAAAAATCGCCCAACATTCTATTATTGAACAGTGAAGAAGACAAGCCAGAAAGTTTCCAAACTGCTAGTTTCCAAAGTTAAACTATGATCCTATAAGTACCACCTAACTTTTTCCCACCAAACTCAGTACAATTGTCCCTCATTATCAGAGGGGCCCAACGGTTACCAAAATCTGTGGATATTTAAGTCCCTTATATAAAATAATATAGTATTTGTACATCATCTAAACACATCTTTCTGTATACTTTAAATCATCTCGAGTGTCGCTGGTGTGGCTCAGTGCATTTAGTACCAGCCTGCAAACGGAAAGGTTGCTGGTTGGATCCCCAATCAGGGCACATGCCTGGGTTGTGGGCCAGGTTCCCAGTCAGAGGTGCGCTAGAGGCAACTGATCAATGCATATCTCACACATCAATGTTTCTCTCCCTCTTTCTTCCTCCCTTCCCCTCTCTCTAAAAGTAAATAAACAGAATCTTTAAAAACAAAAATCTCTAAATTACTTATAATACCTAATACAATACAAATGCTATGTAAATAGTTATACTGAATTGTTAGTGAATAATGACAAGAAAAACATCTGTACATATTCAGTACAGACAAAACCATCATAGGTCAAATAACACATGAGCAACAACGTAACACTTTTTTCCCAACTATTTTTGATCTGCAGGTGGCTGACTCTGTTGGTGCAGAATCTACAAATATGGAGGGTCAAACGTATACTATTATGAAAGATTAAAATGTTTCTCAAAAAAATGAAAATGTTGGGCTAAGGAAATTAACTTATTTCTTCAATGCAAGAGCTCTTTGATCCTTTCGGTATGCTAATCTCCAAAGAGAAATTCTATGAAGCATGTCCCAAACTGAATCTGACTACACGATGCTTTTCTCCTTGGAGGTGGAAGGATGCTCAATGTAGGCACAGTTTAAAATAAGCAAATTTGGATAACAACTTAATACAGTATGATAGACTAGCAAGAATTCTAAACTGAGGGTCAGGAGACTTGGGTTCAGGTCCCGACTTTAACATTAACTACTTGGGTAGCTTCCAGCAGGTCCCTTTCCATTTAAGGACTGTCTCATCAGCTTAAAAAAAAAGGACTAATCAACCTGTCCCAAACCAAGACCATTAGCTTTGTATTAAGGAGTATGCAGAACCAGAAGATAAACCTGGCATGTCCTTCTAAAGCACCAATTTTAATTGATGGGGCAAAGAGGGTAGTAAAAATTTTCATATTAAAATAAGTATTACCATATTTTGGAATAAAATACAAAATTCAAATTAACTTTAAATAAAAAACTTTAAGAAGTATTTAGGGTGGAGAATGCCTCTTAAAGCTTCTTAAAAATTTCAATCTAAATATCTTTAAGAGCAGAAGAAAATGAAAGGACTCTCCCAGAGGACTGGTGAGGATGTGGGGTGAAGATCCACCAGTGCAGAAACAGGATTTTACAATTCCAAGCATTCATGCAAACAGATGGCCTATACATTCTAAAATTAATTTGATACACATTTTTAGAAAAAAGTACTTTCACATAACATGCTCCCCCTATATTTACAGAACTGTTTGCCTCTATGTGATACCTATTGTTTCATTTATTTTTTTCCTTCTTTTGGCATCTTCCATTCTTCCATACTACCTTCTTTTTTGTCTTTTGTGTTCAGAAAGTTTATCAATCATATTGATTTTTCAAACAACTTACCTATTCATTCGCATTCATTCATTCATTCGTTCATTCACTCATTCACTCATTTTTGGTGCCTTGACCAGGAATCAAATCAGCAACCTTTTGCTTTCTAGGACAACGTCCAACCAACACAACTTTTTTTTTTTTTTTTAAACTATAGAGGGCCAGAATGTAAATATTTTAGGCTTTCGGACCCAATGGGTTCTTGTCAAAATTTGAGACTCAACTTTTCCATTGTACCATGAAAGCAGACACTGATAATACATAATTAACTGAGTATAGCTGTGGTCCAATAAAACTTTATATAAACAGTGAGGTGCAGCCCTGGCTGGTGTGGCTCAGTGGACTGAATGCTGACCTGCAAACCAAAGGGTTGCTGGTTCAATTCCCAGTCAGGGCACATGCCTGGGTTGCAGGCCAGGTCCCCAGTTGGGAGCGTATGAGAGGCAAGTGATCAATGTATCTCCAGAATATCAATGTTTCTCTCCCTCTCTTTCTCCCTCCCTTCCTTTCTCTAAATATGAATAAATAAAACCTTAAAAAAAAGGGAAAGTGATAAAACCTTAAAAAACAAAACAAAACAGTGAGGTGCAGTTTGCTAACAACCACTGACAAAGATTAGAGATTTAAGACTTTCTTTTCCAAACAAAACAGTGAGGCGCAGTTTGCTAACAACCACTGACAGAGATTAGAGATTTAAGACTTTCTTTTCTAACCTAAGTATTTAAGGGTATAAGTTTCCCTCTAAGCACTGATTGAGCTGCATCCCACAAATTGTTGTCATATTTTAATTTGCATTCAGTTCAAATAATGTTTTAAATTTCCTTTGAGACTTCCTTTTTGACCTGTAGATTTAGAAATGTTTATTTGATTTCCAAAGACTGGAGATTTTCCCAGATGCTTTATGATTCAAAAACATATTTTGTATTATTTCTATCCTCTTAGATTCACAAGTGTCATGTAACTGAAAAATAGGTGTAGTTGTTTGACAGTATCATTCAGGTTTTCTATATCCTATATTTATTTTCCATCATCACTGAGAGAAGAGTGTTGAAGTAGTGCTGAAGTCTTCGACTGTAATTATGAATCTGTTCATTTCTTTTTTTAGTTCCATCAGCTTTGGCCTCAAGTATGTTGAAGCTCTGTTAGAAGCATACATGTGTAGAATCATGTCTGCTTAAGAGGACTGACCCTCTATCATTATATAATGTCCTTCTTTACCCCTGACAATGTTCTCTCTTCTTTAGATTACTATTTGCTTGGTATATATTTCTCCTGTCTTTTAACTGGGTTACGCCAGGGGCTGGCAAACTATGGCCCAGGGATCCAATCCACATAGCCTGTTTTTTAAAATTGATAAACTTCTAGCCAGACTCACCAAAAAAGTGAGAGCGAGTGAGAGAGAAAGAGAGAGGGCACAAATGATCAATGTTAGGAATGAAATCCCTACTAACCCAAGACAATAAAAGGACAGTAATACCATAAACTTGATGTCCATAATTTTGATAACTTAAATAAACCAATTCCCTAAAATCAAATTTCCAAAACTCAATGAAGAAATATTGTCTGAATTGTCCTTTATCTATTAAAGAAATTCAATTCAATTTTTAGAAAGGCCTTTCAAAAATGAAAATTCCACGCCTAAATGGTTATCACTGGCAAATCCTACCAAATATTTACGGGACAATACTAATTCTACATAACCTCTTCTAAAAATAAGAGAACACTTCCCATCTCATTTTATGAGGCTAGCATTATTCTGATAACAAATCGAGACAGATTAGAAGAAAACTAAAATTCTCTATCAGTCATGAATGCACAAGCAAAATCCTCAACAAAATATTAGCAAATCAAATCCAGCAATATGTAAAAATAATAATATATCATGACCATGTGTGAGTTCATCCCAGGAAAGTATTCATATCTCAACACTGAAAAAAAAAAATTCAATGTACTTCACTCTATTAATAGACTAAGAAAAACCGTATGTTCACCTCAAAAGATTAAGGAAAAACATTTGACAAAATTTAACAACTACCATATTTTGCCATGTAAAATGCTGGTCCCGTGTATAATGTGCACCCATGGTTTAGTGCTGCCCATGTATAATGTGCAACCGTATTTTCCCCTCAGAAATTTGGGCAAAAAGTGCACAGTATGTTACCTGACATGGTAAAAAGTGTGAATGTTACCTGACATGGCAAAAGGGGAATTAAGGTTCCAGACAGAATGAAGGCTATGAACCAGCTGACCTTAAAATAGGAAAATTCTCTTGGATTACCTGGGTGGGCCCAATGAAGTCAGAAGGGTCCCTAAAAATGGAAGAGGGAGGGAAGAGATGTGACTGTAAAAGGAAGACACACAGAGATGCCAAACTGCTGACTTTGAAGTTGGAGCCATGAGTCAAGGAATGTAGGCAGCCACTAGAAGCTGGAATGGGCAAGGAGAGAGATTCTTCCCTGGAATCTTCAGAAAGGAACACAGCCCTGTTGACACCTTAATTTTAGCCCAGTGAGACCCATGGTGGCCGTTGATTTAAGAGAATTTTAAGACAGTAACTTTGTTGTTTAAAAGCCACTAATTTTGTGGTAATTTGTGAGAAGCAGCAATGGAAAACTAGTGTATTTCCTAAGAAGGGGAACAGGCAAGGATGTCCTCTCTTACCACTCCTATTCAGTGGCCGATCAGAAGTCCTTAAGACTGTAGTAAGGCCAGAAAAAGTAAAGGCATATAGATTAGAAAGAAAAAAATAAAACTGTCCATATTTGCATAAAACATGATTGTAGAAAATCCCAAAAAAATCTACCACAAAGCTTCTAGAACTAATAAGTAAATTTAGAATAGTTACAGGAAAAAAGTTAATAGACAAGTCAATTTTATTTCTATATACCAACATATAAACAACTGAATATTTGAACATATAAACAACTTAAAAAACATATATACCATTTAAAATAGTTCCCCTGTCCCCTAGAAAAACCAAACCCAGAGACCCTAGGTATTAGGTTTAAATCTAACAAAACACGTATAGGAGGTATATCCTGAAAAATGGAGCAGGTAGTGTGTTCACAGAATGAAACAATCAGTATTGTCAAGATACCAGTTCTACTCAGTTTGACCTATAAACTCAACACAATCCTAATCAAAATCTCAGCAAACTTTCTCACATCAACAAACTGATTCTGAAATTTATATAAAAGTGCAAAGGGACCAGAAGAACTAAAACACTTGTGTAAAAGAACAAAGCTGGAGGACTCACATTAGCAAACTCAAAACTTATTAATAGCAATCAAGTCAGCATTACATTGGAGGAAGTATAGACAAAGACCACTGAAAATAGCTAGACAGCCCAGGAACAGACCCACACAAATATGGTCCATTAATTTTCGACAAAAGTGCAATGGCAATAGAGAAAGGATAGTCTTTTAAAAAATGGTGCTGGACAAAAGGATGTCCATATACAGAAAATGAACCTTGACACACCCCATACCTAATACAAAAGTTAATTCAAAGGGGATCACAGACCTAAATGCAAAATAATTTAATACTTGATATAGAGCAACCGGAACTCTCATACACTGCTGGTGGGAATGCAGAATGGTGTAGTCACTTTGGAAAACAGTTTGGCAGTTTCTTATAAACATATACTTACTATTGCAAGCAGCCAGCCAAGTCCTAGAAATGTACTGAAGTAGCCCTGGCTGGTGAGGCTCAGTGGATTGAGCACCAGCCTGTAAACTAAAGGGTTGCTGGTTTGATTCCCAGTCAGGGCACATGCCTGGGTTCTGGGCCAGATCCCCAGTAGGGGACTCTCGAGAAGCAACCACACATTGATGTATTTCTCCCTCTCTTTCTCCCTCCCCTCTGTCTAAAAATATATATATATTATTTTTAAATTCTAGAAAAGGCAACCCTGGGTGGTTGTGGGATCCTGTTTTACAAAGGAGAAAAATTGAGGTTTAGAAGGTTAATACGCTCTTCCAGAGCCACAGCAAAAGAGGTAGATCCAGAACTTGAATCCAGCTCTATGTTCCATCTGTTTCTTTTACTTTATTCATAGTGTCCAAAGAATCTTGGGGTGCATAGCTGGAGTATTCACCAATTTATAACTTTTTATATCTTTATATACCTTATTTTTATTTTATTGTTTGTCTTAAGTCATTTCTGTATTAAAATCCTAAACTAAAGATTTAAGTCCTAAGCTAATAAAGGAAAATACTAAGGTAAATATAAGTAAATAAAAATATTTTATTGTTTTTTGATGACAGTACCATTTATAGCTATGAATTTACTTTATAAGAAGAGGATTTTTCATAGATTTTTGATATGCAGGACTTTGTTGAAGGCTAATTCTATTTTACGATTTTGTCAATAACAAGATATTCTTAGTCCATTTTCAAAGAATATTTGGGTGTTAAACTGTTACTATTTTGAGTAAAGATAATATTCATTAAGACATCGGTTGGCCATAATACGTTTACTATATTACGAGTAAGTTTAACATTTAATTTTTATATATATATACATGAAACTCTTTGATCTTCTTGAAATATATTGCTCATGAAAAGAAGTAATTTTAAATAACCTAGCCAGTTCATTAAAGCCCAATAAATATATAGCAAATTGTGCACGGAAATCTCTCATGGAGAAAATCCATGAAAGAAAACTACCTTATGATCAAAGACTGACCCATAATCCTGTTGGCCATGTCATAAGTGCAGCTTATTAAATAAAGTTTTAGCAAAGACCCATCAATTCTACCAGGAAAAAAACTCAATACAAAAATCCTGTTGTCAGCATATGTAAAAGACATATCCAAAGAATCTGAAGACATACCTGATTTACACCAATCTCAATAAATGCAACATACATACCTATTCTTCATGAGGCGCACCTCTCTCTTCCGTGCGGCTTCTTCAGCAGGCTGCGTAGGAAGCGCTGGGGAGGATGCCATAACCACGCCAGGGGCAATGGTGCTCGTGGGTGCTGTGCGGATCTGGTATGTTTGTACGTCTCCAGAGGCAGCTGAAAAGAAAAATGGCGGACATGGTGTAAGACACTGAAGCACTGTGACCTGGTAAAACTAGGGATGTCAATCATCAATCTAAGCATTACATTTTGGATTAAAAGGGGAAAAAAGGAACAGGCGATTCTGACTAAAATGTTGAAAGAATCAGTGTTCTTTGGGTCATTACTGAGAAACAGTTCCCAATTTAATGTGTTTATTAGCATAGACACTTGGGTAAAAGAGGTCTTAACCTACACACATCTGCTGGGTTATATATCTTTCATTGGAATGCAGTTCTATTCTGTTGTTAACATGCTTACCAACCTTAAGTCTAAAAGGTAAGTAGGGCACAGCTTGGATCATCTTCCTAGATATAGTCCTCAATGTCTTCCTTTGATTTTGGTAAATTCATATTAAAAAATCTCAAGTAGACTCTTGCCACGACATAAAAACGACCATGATTTTTCATAAAATAGCAAAATGGAAGAGAAAATAAAGCATTATGGTCAACTATTATAAATTTCTAATTGACACAAAACTGTAAGTATGAAAGTGTACCAAGTGATGCCAATTGTATCATCTGTAAACATTGTTTTAATGTAAATGATAACGACTAAATAAACTCAAGTTGTATTCTTGTATTCTTCTAACTAAATGATGACTCACTTGTGAAAAGAAATACAATCACTACTTGTCAAACTGCTTTTAAAAACAGCTTAATAATATGCCCGCCTAAGAACAAGAAACCTAACATTAATCTGAGAGAATTTGAATGTCTTTATAAAATTATCCATGTTTGTTAATATCAATTAAAATGTGTAGTTTGAGTGGAAAAGATTTATATACTAAACATGTTACCATCTTCAAACTGACGTTCAGAATTCAAATTCACTGACATCCTGCTTTACAATTTTTGAGTACCTGCATGTAAAGTGAAAAGGTGTTTTACTCCCATTAACAAGCAAAATATTATCTTCTTCAAATATTTTAGTTAACAGAATATTTTCTGTATACACATTAGGGTCCTTTTAAATAAATTATATTCTCTCTAGTTGATGTTTTAGAATTATTAAAAAATTATCATCCCTGATGAAGGGGCACACCTGTCATCACCTAAGAGAGGCAAAACATATTATTAATGAAAACATTTTTAGAAACATTTTTTATTTCTTTAATATGCAGATTTTCAGTGTGGCATTAACCATATTCTTAAAATACTAAAATAGTTAAAAAGAAAAATGGTCAACTCCTACACATAAAGATTCCTGAAACAAATTGGAAGAAAACAAAACAAAACTTTAAAAAAACTAAAAAAAGCTATTTCTATAGTTGCATACTGGTATAAGAATTTTCAGAATATAATGCTTTCATTTGAAATAAAAAAAGGATCATCTTAAAAATGATGGTGTAAATTTCTTTTGACTATAAAAGCAGAGAAAAACTTTGAATCTCCAAAGATTCTTATAAATAATTTAGTATAACTCTCATTTGATACATGGTTTGATACATTGGAGGGGGGGAAGGCTTGGAGAGTCTGGGTCTTACTCAAGGTCACAGAGCAAATCTATGCAGTTTGATCTAGACTCTAACTCCTGATTTCACTATCTTTCCCTTTAACCTATCTTGTTTCTCCTACCCCAAAATTCTAGAGGTGTTAAAGAGAAAAGCTGTATTTTTAAAACTGAAAATAGTTGTTTTTATGCCATGACATTTTTGTCCAATTGGAATAATGGAAGAGTTCATAGAAAATATTATCTATAATGAAGAAAAATTTACATTTTAACAGTGTTTTACAGTATCATACTTACTTTTTTTGAGTTTATAAAATGTAAACCTTTCAAAGAATTTACGGTACCTGTGAAATCTGAGTTCTCTTACCTTGAACAACAACTTGGTTGCTGGGCACTAAGATCTGCTGTCCATCAGTGGTCTGTGCATACTGTAGAATGGTAGTACCCGGCTGAGTGGCGGCTGCATTGGTCATAGTTAATGTTTGCAGGCCCTGTACCCCATCGGTACCATTGTTAGCCAGTTGTATTGCTCCTCCCTGGGTAATGGCAACTAAAACCCAACGGATTTTATTGTTACAAGTTTAATTAACACTATAGGGGACTTTTACAACACATTAAATTCAAAGTAGAATAATTTGCGAGACATAAACTCAGAGAATTTTAACAGCAAATAACAATACCAAGAAAGATTTGGTACACTCAAGTACCTTTCTGCTCAGGAAACCCAGATCCAATTTGTAAGTATACTCAATGAATTACATTGTAATTCATAATAATATCTACTAACAATTTTTTTAAAAGGAGATAAATGAGAAAATATTAAATTCCTTTTGAAGTTATGGTTCTGAGGAGGTACCACTTTGTGATCCATACTTCCTTTATTCTAGCATTAACTACCTAATATTTTAACTGTTTAGTATTTGCTGATGCATTAGTAAATAAGTTTCTTGACTGTAGGAAATGTGGTTTTTCTCCTCTGCTTTCATGTCCTTAGTACAATAATTGGCATGTAATAAATGGTTATCAATGCATAATTAATAAAACAGTTCAGTAGTATGTTTTCTCTAACTTGCTAGCAATGCACAAACTACAACAAAGTCCACTCAATGAAACAACTGAAATGTCCTATGGAACTTAATTTTCAGAGTCTCTCATGGAGTTTAAAATCAGAGCTTAAGATCATCATTTAGAAAAAAACCTCATCATTGCTATTTCTAAGTTACATACCCAAGCACTCTCATCTAGGAGCTTTTGTTGATTATTTACTAACTAACCACACTTATTATTCATTCATTTGTTACAAAATAATCATTTGTTACAAAGATATTTCACTTTATAAAAAAATAAACTGAATTCATCTTTATGGTAGAGTACATGGAAAAAGTTAGTAAAAAGAAATAGATCACTGTTTTATTTGAAAGAAGCAATCCTTTAGATACCAGCATTGAGATAGGAAGTTGGATCCTTCTCTAGATACTCTCTCTCCCCGTCAGAGCTCAAGTTTTCCAAAAAGAGACTAAAAATTATGATATTACAAATAAAATTGCGTAACAGATTTTTAACTAAGTTACTATGTCTGACTTAAGCGTGTTACTTTTTGTCTGTAGAAGGGAATTGCGATCAACTGTCAGCTAGCTCTAGTAACTAATAGCCTGAGTCATCTGTACATGGAAAATTGATTATCTACTGTTCAATCAAGAAATAACAGTAAGTTAATGGCTATGATCTGGTTTACAAATGATACTTGTGCAAATTCAGATACTGGCAAATACAATCCATTCACTTTAGCTAGTCCCGTGTTTTATTTATCTTAGTCAAGGCTAAAAAAAAAAAAAAAGAGTATGTAAGAACTATTGAGATTAATATTGCCGGATATCTTGAAAGAATCAGATGGTTAAGAGAATCAAACTACAATTTCTCATATAGAGTTAATAAGCAAATTGCACTGTATTTAACACACACAGCTTTCCTCTTGGCTACATACCAATGAACTCAAGGTGGGAAGAAAGAAGTAGAAAACTATTTATCAGGAGATCTGGGGTCTAGTCCAAGTTCCATCACTAAATTGTTATTTGAATGTTATCTCTTCTGAAAAAATAAAAATATCTGGTTCTAGCCACTAAAGTACAATTGCTGCAAAAATCAAATGAGATAATGTATATGAAAGTACTCTGAAAGCTTATACCTGATCCTATCAAACATGGTTTTTCTTAACCTTTATTTATACGTTTGGTTATTCCAAAAAGAATTTTCGATAGTTTTCAACAAAACTAAATTCATTAAGCTCTGACCAGCATGGCTCAGTTGGTTAGGTGTCATCCCACAAAGTGAAAGGTCACCTGTTAGATTCCCGGTCAGAGCACACGCCTGGGTCGTGGGTTCAATCCCAGGTCAGGGCATGTAGGAAGGCAACCGATGGATGTTTTTCTCCCCCCTTTCTCCCTCCCTTCCACTCTCTCTAAAAATAAATAAGTAAAATGTTTTAAAACAAAAAACAAAAACCAAAACTAAATTCATTAAAACAAGAACAAAGAAGTCAAGTGACTGATGTGTCTCTATGTGTATTCAATAATTCTACCAGAAAATCTAGACAGAAAGAATACAATTAAACTTAGCTGCGATTCTCAGTAGCTAAAGAGGAAAACATCACTGGTTATATATAGTTTTTTTTAGTGAAACAAAAAAATTCATGTTCAAAATGATAGACACATGTTTTTCTACCCAAAAATAGAATCTCTCAAACAAGACTTTATTATTGCAAACAGTGAACAAAGTATGGGTAAAACTAATAACGATATTAATAAAAAAAAAAAACAATTAATGGAAGGAACAAAAATTGGTCCAGCAACTGGGAAAGGCAACTGGGCAAGATATGCTTTGATTTTAACAAATCTACTCTTTGGATGCTACTCCACTGAGGCAGTACTAACATAAGTAAGAATGTTCATGTAGCATTGTTTGAAACAGCAGAAAGAAACATTCTGAATGTTCATCAATACCTGTGTGTGTGTGGGTAGAATATTTAAGTAAATGTTCTACTTACAAAGTGAAACACAATATAGCTGTTAAAGACATAATATGCATCGCTATACTTGTATATATTGTCTATGGTATATAAATAATGTATTTATATTACCATGTATCATGTATATTAAATAAATACATGATAACATGTGCATGTACAAATGGAATGAAAAGAAATGGAAGGATATATACCAAATCTTACTACTGGGAAGGGATGAAAAAGAGTTTTACTTTTTATTAATTCTATGAACCTCTCTACCATTTGCATTTTCACAACAATATATTCGTTTTATAAGTTAAGAATTATACAAATGTGTTGTGTATATAAAGTCATTATATTGCTCCTTAATGAAAATCAAGAACATAATATTAAATCAGTTTCATCAAGGCCATGTGTCGTTTATATACAGAGAATAAGGGATGAAGATAATTAATAAGCTTTACAAATCTCAAAGTATTAGCCTTTTAAAACTAGTAATATCCTCTGTTGCTGGAGGAGAGTAGTGTGCCAAATTAAACATCTACTTTTCTGAACTTCGCTTCCCTATTTGAGATTCTGATATGCCTCTTTCCAGAAGAGCATAGTTTCTAGTTCAAGTGAGAATCTCTACACTAAGTAAATCACTGTCACGAACAGAAGTAGCTGTATCCCCCAGGTGTGCTGAAGTCGGAAAAAAAATCAAGGTCATGTATCTATGTCTTAGAGCACAGCTTGAACAACTCAAATTATTTGGATATAGGGCTGAAAACCACACACACATGTATATAGATAGTACCTGTTCATCTCTGCCAACAAAGAACTTAAGGAAGAAAAAAAGATAACAGAACTCTATTAAACTCACAGAGTAGGCAAGAAGCTTAGCCAAAAATGCCTTCCTTCTACTTACTATCAAAAGTTTCAGCTTTGAGAGAGCTAGAAAATCTGCTACTTGCAAATCTGTTGTTAATCCAGCTGGATGCAAACCAAGTTGGAGTTATAACTAAAATACTATTAATTTGGGAGTCAAATTTTTACACATTTCTGACAGAGGTCCCAGGGAATTTGAAAACTAATGCAACAAAGAAGTTTCAATGTGTGCATTTGATTTGTAATTACAGAAGGGAGGACAGAAAACATAAAATGGGCAGTACTAAAGGAATGAACAAACCAAAACGAAGAGACCAGTATGTGAGGCACTTTGAGAGGCAAAAAGATACTGGGAAGAGAGAACAAAAAGCACCCTTCACACAAATGCCCTCAATCAAACAAAAGCAGAACTCAAAAGTACTTTAAAACAGATTTAGGTGAAAGATAAGACACACTTGGGTGTTAGACAGGGAGAGATACCACAGAAATGGAAACTGACAATTTTGCAAAAGAAATCTTTGCTTTCTGTGAGTCAGAAAGGACCTAATTCAGCAGTCCTTATGCTTTCATTATCATAATTCACTTCACTACCTTTCATATTGAAAGGAATAATAACTGAATGTGCTAGTAGACTGCAAGCAAGCCTCTCCACCCCCAACAAAACATTAAATATATGACTTTACAATGCTAGAAAGATAAGGTATTAACAAAATAAATAATGAGACCATTTTGGAACTTAAACATAACCAAAGAATAATTATTTTCTTTATCTCAAAAAAATGTATGTTCTCTATTAACATCATGAGGACCAAAATCCTCAAGTAGTGGTTTGAAAACCTCAAGGACTGTCTATGCATCAGCTTAAAACAGAGGACCATCATCTAAAGGGCTTACATACTTGAGCGATCCAAATCAAAACCCTGAAGAAAACAAACTACTTCTCTATAGAACTGCATATTAAACAGTAAAGGAAATACAATAATGAGAGCAAGACTAAAAAAAGAGTTGGCACTTCTACTGATTCTTTTCAGGAGAATTAGTTTTCATCTCAGTTTCCAAAACAGAAATACTACTACTCACTGTACTGCCCACTGCTCGTCTGGTAAATGGGAGTTGGCACCGTGACCGTGGTGATGGCGGGCGCTGAAGCCTCCTCCTCAGACTTCTCTTCTTCAATCCTTGGCACTCCTGGTGCGTCAGAAGATAAGTCATTCAGAATTTTCCTAGAAAAACAGAGAATTATATTAACTAAAATAAAAGTAACATTTACTGGCTAAATACAAATAATAGGATGAAATTAGAAAACAAGGAGGAAGCTGCTACTGCTTAGGACAGAAACTTAAAATACAAGAATTTACAAAAGTAAACTAAAAAACGACCAGTGATCTATATATCCAAATGAAACCATATGAGAAGCAGAATAAACAAAGTTGAATTCTTCTTTAACTTGAATGTAAAGAAAGGCTGTGGTTCAAAATCCAGGTGCAAGCGAAGAAAAAAATTAATACAATTTGACTACAGAAAAAAAAATCCTTTTGTGTGCCAAACACCACCAAAAATTAAGTCAAGAGGTATCAACAATACTAGGAGGAAATGTTTACACACATTACATATAAAGGGATAATATCCCTGATATACAAAGAACTCTAAAAACTGATGGGGGGGAAAAATGACCAAAATATCTCTTTTTAAGTTTTAACTTTCAGACTGGCAAAAAAAATTTTTTTTAAAAAGAAGTCAAACAATATATTTGTTAGCAAAGCTGTGAGAAAAAACACTTCCGTTTCCATATGTTGCTGTTAGGAGTATAAAATCACAAGAACACTTATGGAAGTAATTTGGTAATATCTAACAAAACTGCATGCTTACAAAGCAGTCTTCTAGGAATGTGCCCTTAAGATATACTCCCAACAGTATAAAAATACATATGCATAATTATTCATTGTAGTACAATTTGTAACAGCATATACTGGAAACAATCTATATACACACACATAGGGGAATGGATGAATAAACTACAGTCCATCCCAATAATAAGTATATGTAGTACTTTTTGTATAAGAAAAAAGTAAAATAAGAAAATATATATGTATCTGTTGATCTGTTCAAGAAAAAAACAGGATAAACCAAAGTTTAATGAGATTTATATTACCGAGGTGGTTGGAAAGAAGTAAAAGAGGATAGAAGAAATGGGGGTGGGGGTGTCCTCCTGAGTGTATGTATGTATACATATTTTGGTACAATTCTAACTTCTGGAATGTAACAATGTTAGAGTTTCATATAGTCAAAACAAAAGACAGTAACAAGGATGGGGAAAATTCTAAAAATGAAGTATAAACAAATAAATCTTATCATATTTCAAATGAATAACATGTCAGAGAGGAGAGGAAAAAAACCTAACCCAAGTAGTTTTTGACATCTTAAATTCCCAACAAATCAGTCTGAATAACTTAAAGTCTACCCAAACTCTGCCCCTTTATGTTATTATTGTCACATACTACATCTTCATAAAATACATGGTGTTCTCATTAACAGAGTTTACAATTATTGTGTTATGTATTGGTCTTTAAAATCATATAGAAAAAAAGAGGAGTTACAAAGTAAAACTACAACAATTCTGGCTTTTATATATTTACCTATGTAATTACCTTTACTGGTACTACATAAAATATTCTACTATTTATCTCTTTAATAAATTTTTTTCCTCCCAATTTCCCCTCTGGAAATTCTATAAATGCTTCTATTGAAGCACCTCACTATATATACTCCATGACTTTTCGCCTGTTTCTCACATTTTCTACCTGTTTCTGTTCTCCATTCTGAGTTACCTTCTCAGTTCCTTTCCAGTTTGTTATTGCTGTTTTATTTTTTAATTTCCCAGTTTGTACTTATCATTTCCAAGATTTCTTTCTTTTCTATATTGTTCTCATTTAGTAAATTCCTATTCTTACTGTAAGGAAGATTTTTTCCTTTATTTCCTTGCAAATGAGAAACAGCTATTTTAAACAGCTTGTAGACAGACTGTTGGTCAACAGATCACACTTCAGCATACAAAAAACCATCTGAAGAGTATGTTACAACACAGACTCTGCCCTGGCTGGTGTGGCTCCACTGGTTGGAGCATCAACCCGTAAAATGAAAGTTAGCGGGTTTGATTTCCGGTCAGGGCACATACCTAGGTTGCTGATTTGTCCCCAGCTAGAGTGCGTAGGAGAGGCAACTGGTCGATGTTTCTCTCCCTCTCTCTCTCTCTCTCCCTTCTTTCCCCTCTCCCTAAAATCAATAAGCATGTCCTCGGGTGAGAATAAAAAAATATATAATAATAATAATAATAATAATAATAACAACAACAACTTAAAAAATACAGATTCCTAGGTCACCTTCCCAGAGTCTAATTCATGAAGTATGAGGGAGGGACCCAATGATTTGCATGGCTAACCAGATGCCGATTTATCAGTCTGGTCTCTGGACTACATTTTGAGTACTGTTTCTAGAGCAATGTGTGTCGCACTGAGGTCACAACCTATATGTAGGTCATGAAAACAATTCAGTATGTTGCAAACAACATATTGTAAAACAAGCAAAGAACAGCTGAACATCACACATAATAAGGGTTAGCATTACTTTGTGGAAATTTTCTTTCAGATGCCTGTATATAGATATGTACGCTCATATACATGATACACCTACATATTTATATATAAATGTGTAATTGTATGTATATATATGAATATGTGTAATTACATGTCTGTATATAGACAACTGTAAAGATGTATTTCTTATTACGGATTGTGGTTTGAAAAACTTTAAAAGCCATTACTGAAGTCCTGCAAATACATGTTCATCTACTTTTCTTTTGCATGAAGCCAGTCAGTGATCACTCTTAGTCTTTTCTTTCCAGACCACCTTGGTCATTATCCCCTTTCTCTTAAATAGAGTTCACTTTCTCTTAAAGGATATTCCAGATGTGGCCTGTGCAGCAGGATTACAGCTGACCCTTGAACAATGAGGGGATTAAGGATGCCAACTGCCTATGCAGGCAAAAATCTGTAACTGCACGTGTCTCTTGCATACATGGATTTCCAACTGTCAGCTGACCCTTAAACAACACCGGTTCGAACTGTGAGGGTCCACTAGGAAAAATCCACACAGGAGTGGACCAGTGCAGTTCAGACCCAAGCTGTTCAATGGTCAACTGTAATTCCCTCCCTTAAATGAGATACTAGGTTTTTTTATCCGTGTAGTCTAACAGTACATTGGCTTTTTTGGCAACCACATCTCATCAATGATAATTAAAGAGCATAATTACTTTTGAAAAATGAATTAATTCAGAATCCTGTACTTTGAATAACAGATTTTATTTTAAACTCAAGTTCATAAATTTTACAATTATCACCAGCATTTCATCTTATTTGTTTCGGTCTTTCCCCCTTGGCTGCTGCGATCTTTCAAAGTACTTCTCCCATCCATTAGGATACTTAATCTCTTAAGGTTCTGTCATTTACAAATCTGAAAAGCATGGCTTCTATATTTTTCAGCTAAAATGATAGTAAAAATAGCAAGCCAGATAAGACTAATAAGTATGAGCCCTTCAAGGACTTCCTCTAGGTAAAAATTAATCTCTGTAAAGCTGGGTTGTTCCAATAAAAACCCACCTTGTATTATCCATTAATCCTCATTTCTCCAACCTTACAGGAATATGATAAAGACTTTTTTAGAGATCTTGTTATAATCAAGACTTAAGAGGCTAGGGTTTCAAAAATTCGTAAATTTAAAATAAAATACACCTTACTGTGGAAGTTTGATTGTAAGGGAACATACTGCTATCTTTCAAGAAAATAGCCCTTTCTCTGTAAGTCTCAGGCATCTTCTATTTGATTATTAATTAAGGTGTTATTATTTAAATAATCTTTGCTGGAATATAGGCTCCAAGCCAACTAAGGCAAATAAAAAAATTATTTCAATGGAAAGCTCGTATTTTGTAAGGTTTACAGCTAATATTTGCCTAGAATTTATATACAGAGAAACTATAAGGCTTGCTTCTTAATACCTCATTTGGATTTGCTTCAGGATCAAATGTGTTATGAACTACATGAGATATACTTCATAGGTAAAATCTAGAACTAGTTACGTTTAAAAAATTATTAATATAAATGCATACAACACATACTTGGTAACATAAAATCTCTTAAGACCTCAAAATAAATTTGATATTCATTTAGACTCCTGAATTTAATTGTGAGGATAAAGGGCTAGCTTAGTAGCCAAGTGGAAAGAAGAAATTAACCATTCCTTTGAAAAATAAAAATATACATAAAATAATTTATACTACTAAAAAAGAATATTGTAAGTTTGAAACTTTATTAAATTGTGAAGTAAGCTTATGCAGATTTATGGAATTACTCTTCTTGGAGACACTGACTATGGAGCCAGTATATACATATTTAAAAAATGGTTTTGGTCCATCTTGGAGGCAAGGCATAGACTAGGCAACTTCTCTAGCTGAATATAAAAACTATAGTAAAGTACCCATAAAATAAGGAGATATCAGCAAAACATCACTCTGAAACAACTATTAAATTAACAGTTATGTTAAGTACCACTGCACAAGAAATAGTTTACAAATGTGTTACTAAGTAGATAAATAGTATAGTCTCAGAACTGACAAGTAACTAGAAAATGCTATAACCTTATCAAATGTATTTCAAACTATGAAACAGAAAAGCAGCTGCCAGCATAATCTACAAGAACAGAGGCTGAAAAAAATACATATCAATGTTTATCCAGGACTGTGCAGAGTAAGAAGGGCTCTTATTCTGTATGATAAGCTTTCAACTTATTTTGAGAGAAGTAACTCAAGATGAAGAAAAGCAAGCTACTATATGGTCCTGAATTGAACAGCTAATTTGTTTTTTGATGTCTTTTAACTATTAAATTTCATACCTATAGGAAGGCCTCCTTGAAAGAATTTCTCTTCGTTTTTGGGAATCAGTTACACTATCCACTGACTCCTGTGAATCTTCACTTTCTGCAATAGTTGAAATCTGAAAAGAAAGAAGAACTATCTTGATAATCAAATTTCGTTCCATAAAATTTTATGAATTTTAAGAAAAGAATCAAACACAAAAGGACATACGTAAACCTTGTACATGCTTAAGTACATTTAAAAAAATACACATTTATGAAAAACAATCACACCAATCACTTTCCTCTTCCCTTATTCTATAGAAGTCAGAGGACCTAAAAAATTTGTCAAAACTACTTTTGTGATATCCAAAGTCAACTTAATCTACTCTAGGACTTCACGTAATCAATCATGAATGCATCAATATTATCTGTCAGTTGTCTTCTCACAGTTGTTAGAACAAGACTACTAAAAATAAGGTTTCTGACATGAGGAAAGAATAAATGACTAAATATTTGGTCATGTCTATATAGTGACTATGCAAATATTTTCCTTTAACTACAATGTAAACAGTTGTGAATATATTTACAAATGTACAAATAAAACTGGTGATACCCTACCATGTTCCAGATGGTTATTTCTAGCAAGTTAGGAAGAATCTCTCTCCTACACATAAACATGTTTCAAAGTTTGCATTCTACAATTCTTATTAAGCAAACATTCAAGATAAAAAGAACTGTGCATTACTGGAAAGTATCTCTGGACTGAAAGGTAATAAAGGTAAGTTGAATAAAGATTTTACATAGGATAATAATAATAGCAACTGGCATTTTTTTACCGTGTGCCAGGTACTCTGCTAAAGCACATACATATATATTACCTAATACTTACTAATACAATAACATTAGGTGCTGGATAAGTACGATTATTATATCCATTTTATAGACAGAAGAACTAAGGTACAAAGAAGTTAAGTAACTCACCCGAGCCACAAAGCTAGGAAGTAGTGGAGTCACTGTCAATACTTGGCATCTCAGTTTTAGACATCCTTATGGGCATCAAAATCCTACTGGTTCCAATCTCAAACCAGTTTTATCAGAAGCAGAAACCCAGAGGTGTTTTTAGACCATTTTTAGGGTAGAAGTTCATCCACCTAGGCAAGTCTGTCTGTCAGGTCTGTACCACCAAGTTTCCCTCGTCTACTCAACAGAAGCCTCCCACTCTTTCCTGAACTAAGTATGCATGATGCTGTCAGAATGAGAATTAGATTTAACCAAGGCAAAAGGGTCTTTGGGATTAGCTCCAGGTCACAATTTATGGCAACGGGAATAAGAAAAAACATACTCAAAGGAACTTGAGAAATCCCAAAGGTACTATGTATGTGGCCTGAGCCCAAGGGTTCTCGTGAGTAAGCACTCATTTTAACAGGGCTTTGAGATATATGCACTCACTTTAAAATGAAATTAGGTAAATCTAATAATATTTTGCAAACTGTATTTACAATAAAGTAATGTGCCTCATCCACTTTAAAGATAAGAATAGCCTTAAAGACATAAAAAGTAACAGGAACATTTTAAGGAGTCCAGAAATGACAGATAAAAAGATGAGCAAGGCTGAATTTATTCTGTGAGCCTCTGTGGAGTAATAATGCTACAGTTAAAGCCAAAGGAGCACACAGAGCAATTTCTCACTTATCTATGGCTGCGGTAATTAGCCCACTCAGAGCAGCCTGCACAGGCCTTCTCATAGAGGCAGAACAGATGAGGAGCTGTGCAAAAGCCTTAACAGGTCAGAATTTCAAAACACAACAAGGCTGAACCTATAGTGGACAGTACTGTGCGGAAAAGTGTTTACCTTCATTGATACTTCTCAGGACATTAGCTTCGATATTGTTTAACTCTCATCCTTACAACCTTCTTTTCAGGATATATAGTTGAAAGTGATGACAATAACTTCAAACCATGCTACACAAACCACCCATATGACAGTTTCAAAATGAAATAAATTAATGTTCCTTTTTAATATATAGTTTTTTATTTTTTTCCAAACTCAGTGGATCTATTGCTCTTAGTAGGAAGCTGCCCCCTACCTCTGATCTAAAAGATTTAGTCAATTCAGACAACAGGAATTAACTTACCACGTAGTAATTAGAACTATGAAGCTAATTACTATGGATTATTTACCCAAAATAAAAAAACGAACCAAACAGAAACCAAAAACACATAGTGGATCCACATTTTTGAAACTATTAAAAACCATGTCCAAAATCATTTTTATAAATATTAAAAATTAGTGATTATAGTTCAATATATATTTAATAAGCTATTAAAACATAATCCCAATTTTAAGTATCAGAGACTACCACCACATTCCAATAATAGAGCCACTTCCTCTGGGTCTCACCTCTGTCACTTCACATATAAGCCCTTCCTGAGCCCCTTAGGTAAATCTTTAACCTTGGTCACTTACAAGGCAAGACATTTTCAAAAAGCCGAACTACCACTTATAAAAGTAGTTTTATATATGTATTTCTCCAACTTTCTTTTACTTTGTGAAAAACCCATACCTCCTGTTTATATGGGGGGGCAGGGGACTTCCTGTTTTGGTGTTTTTTGAAATTTCAAAATAAAATACCAGTGAAGATTAAAGCAATGGTAATACTAGATGATTTCTCAAACTATATTCGCACCCCTTGAAACTTAAGATACTTTTCCTGGGGAGAGTTCACATTCATGGTTTAGGTACATATTTTTACTCAGTGGATTAAAGAAGTTTAATAAAAGTCTAGAGCAATGATTTCTGAACTCTTCTGATACACAGATCTCTCTTATAAATAAGAAAAATTTACATAAGATTTATTTATTTGTAAATTGTGTTATTATGTTATAAAACAAAATAATTTTAAATAGAGCAAGTATAAATAAAATATAACTATAAATTTCTTAAAGATAAATCGTTTATTTTTTAATAACAGTGAACGATATCCTTTAATAAGCTTCATCAAAAATCACTTAATAGTTTATAATAGTAACTCAAAAATATGATTCTAAGCTTGGGCTTTTGAAATGTGGTTAAAACCTGCTACTGCTGAAAAAAGAGAACTTGTGAGATGTAGGTAAGTACATTTTTAGCTAGACTTACTTAATAAAACAATCATTTTTCTTTTTCATCTACCAGTTATACAAACATTTGATGAAATGTACCTAGTATAGTTTCATTTCCCTCTGTTAATGTATGCTAATAAAAAAGATTATATAAATTTTTATAAAAAATATAAAAAGAAATATAAAAATTGTTTCATATTTCAACAAATATGTTTAATACTATTTAAACTCTACAAGACTTCTAAATAGAAAATTCTATTTCCAGGGTTTTAAAGGGATATAGATTTGAGTTTTTAGGTGCCAAATTTACCTTGTTTGCAGTTAAAAAAAAAAAAAAAGGTATGGTTCCCCTGGCCAGGTGGCTCAGCTGGTTGGAGCATCATCCCATTCATCAAAAGTTGCAGGTTCGATTCCTGGTCAGGGCACATACCTAGGCTGTGGGTTTGACCCCCCTGTAGGGGCGTGTAAGAGAGGCGACTGATCAACGTTTCTCTTTCTCACATCGATATCTCTCTCTCCCTTCCTCTCTCTTTAAAATCAATTAAAAAAAAAAAAACGGTATGGAAACATTTCCAAACTTTTCTTTCTTTCTTTTAAGATGTTACTTATTTTTAGAGAAAGGAGAAGGGAGGGAAAAAGAAATGGAGACAGGCATCGATGGGAGAGATACATCGGTCGGTTTGCCTCTTATACAGGCCCCAACCGGGGATTGAACCCACAATCCAGGCCTGTGCTATTCAGTGAGATGCCTAACCAACTGAGCCACATAACCAGGGCCAAACTTTTATTTTCAAAATGCTCTCTCCACAGCATGAGTTTCTTTCAAAACGTAGTCACTCTCAGCGCTGGCCAGGTAGCTCAGTTGGTTAGTGTTGTTCTGATACACCAAAATTATGGGTTCCATCCCTGGTCAGGGCACATCTAAGAATCAGTCAAGGAATACTTAAAAAAGTAGAACAACAAATCAAATATCTCTTTCCCTTCCTCTAAAAACAATCAATTAAGAAATACATAATACATAAAGCAATAACTCTCTCATGCATTAAAATGTCACTCCCCCCACCAAAAAAAAGTTGAAAGGGATTATTTCCAAAAATGTATTAGGTATCACTTGCAAGTCCTTACTTGCCATAATTAAAAATATCAAAACTTTGAATACTTGTCTTATGTAAAAAACAAGTAATTCACCCTTTCATTAGATAACTCTTAAACACTTTGCTATGTGATAACCACTGTACCTCTATGTTGCACAAGAGATTTTTACTGTTGCTCCCATCACATTACAAAATAAAGATTCTATCAAAAATCCCATCTACAACCACTCTTCCCCTTGCTCACTCTATTTGAGTCACATCTTATTGCTATTCCTTGATATGTGACGTATATGCTCACTTCTGAGCCTGGGGACTTGCTTTTATTATTTGTATAGGTTAGCTTCATTCACTGTCTTCTGCTTAACATGTTCCCTGACCACCCAACATAAAACAGAACACCCTTCTCTCCAAATCATTCTCCATCACTTTCCCCTGCTTTAATCATCTTCCCAGCACTTATCCTCACCTGACACATTTTATTTTTTCATTGTTTCTCTTCGCTCAAATGTGATCTTCATGAGAATAGGGAAGTATTATTTGTTCACTGCTGTCTTTCAAAGCACCTAGAACAGTGACTGGCACATAGCATGTGATCAATAAAAATTCGTTGAAGGAATGAATGTAGTACTTTAAGGTAACATAATCCATATATCCTCTGACACATTTAAACTGCACTGTATTAAAAATGCATCCAAAACCAACAAATGAAAAGTGAGGATGCCACTGTTAACTTCTATGCATTTATGTCACTCCCATAATCTGTGATATTTGACTCATACATACACTTAAGGATTAAGTTAGGGCACCAATGTCAAGCCATAAATATGAATACAGCTGTTTCTAATATTCTTTGATTAAAAGATATAAATATAAGTCCTAATATCTTATTTTCACACCTGAGAAATGTACCATGTACATTTTGGGAAAGCTGTTCTAGAGTAGTAATGTTCTGCCATCTAGAAGTTTGAGGAACCATTTCTCTCCTTCTCTGATTAACTCATTTGATATAAACTATTTCCTAGTTACAGTAATACTAATAACTGTTAGGATTATTATTAATCACTGTCATGACCATTAAAATTTAATAGGTTCTCTATGGTTTAGGCCCTTTAAAGAAAAATACTACATTTATGTCTCTATTTGTAGAATTCAGGCTTTCAATTATAAGCATAGCTCACCTAAGTAGAAAAATATGTTCTTGAAAAGATGAACACATTTCTATAGTTAATGCCATATAACCCCCAGGTCCAAATTATTAGTATTATTGCCACAAAGATTAAAGTTAAGAATACAATAAACATCACATAGCTAAAAACTGTAATCTTAACAAATTTGTGGGTATAATTTTGGTAATTATTTTTGTGCTCTTAATAGAAAGACCTCCTACCTAAAGTAAAAAAAGAAAAAAGCAAAGATTAACGTGAGGTTTGGAATTTATTCTCCTCCCTAGCAGTTTCTTTCCGCTATTATCAGAGGAAGATACAAATAGGGAATTAGTAATGGCATAGGATGGAGAATGTAAGGTAGCATTCAATGAAATAACAACTGAGGCAAAATATAAAAAACTGTAATATAGCCACTGTGATTCCACAGAAATATCAAATTCTTAGGTCTTTACATGGACAACTCTGACTTCTACTTGGTAACAAATTCCATTCCTGGTATCTTTAAGTATGGAAATTCATAAAACTTAATGATTTCACAGGAAAACACCCTGCACCCCCGCCCCACTAAGTGTTCAAGTAAGCGAAAAGTACAAGGAGAGAATGACGCAGAGGGGGTAACGACAGCTCAATACCCAACAGTATAATATGGCTGCCAAACTCTAACATGTCCTTTCAGTGTTAGCAGAATCCTTCCAGAACAAAGGAGGTACTTCTCCCCTCTACAAATATTAATCAGTCTGGCTACCATACCCAGGGAAAACACAACAGCTCACCCACAAAAAGACAATGAGGATGGCAATGAGGAATCAAAGCCGTACCACATAATAAATCGCTGAAGAAAAACAGGCGATTGTTTAGTCTGGACTTTTTTTTTTTTTTTTTTTAATAGAAAGGGAGTGGGAGGTGGGGAACAGAAAGCAGTCCAACAAAAAAGGAATTAAACTTGCTCAACTAATTTCTGAGCACAGACCTGGGACCACCAGGAAAATTTTAGAAAGGTATATCCTGGTTCATCATGTGGAACAATATTTTAGCCATTACCCCTAATTATAAATTGGTTACCTCACAAGATAGTATGAACTTCTGCCTCTGACAGTGTTCAAGTAACACTGGACTACCATTTGGAGGAGAGGAGAAAAGATATACAAGGAAATCAAGCAACAAACTAAGGGCTGGATAAAGCAATAAATCTGGTATACACCTAGAAGATCTTTAAGATTTTTATTCAAATCTGAATCCCATGTTTACAGAGAAGGACAAAGACATAAAGAATAATTTCTCACCTTCCTTTCTATATATAGTTCTCTCCAAATCTAGGACCTAGGACTCACCTGAGTTCCGGAGAAAAGTCTTTTTAAGTCCTTACAGGAAGACTGTGAAGCAAAAAATATGAAATGGGAGGCTGGGGTTATGGCCTACTTGAATGAACGTTAAAGCTTTTTTTCTCTTTAATAAGCTCACTGCAAAGATGTATACTGCTCTAGGTTTTCCCTACAATTAAGTAGAGTAGTCACCTTCAGAAGTCTACATGCCTTTAATTCCTTTGGATCCAACCAAAGGAACAATCTCTCCACAGAATGAGATAATGTGTAGCATAATCCCTTATTCTTAAGGTGCACTTTCTGAATATATAATTATTTCACAGTTTTATACTGTAACTTAGAATCCTAAACATAGCTGTGTATTACAAATGCTTTATGTAATCTCTAAATTCAAGTAATATTTTAGGTAAGGTTATTGGTTACTTTTTGACAAGGGTTTATTTTTTTTTCCAGTTGCATGTTTAGAAAATAATTACAAAGGTATTGTTTTTGTATCTCAATTTTCCTCAATTGAGGTACATCAGCCTTACAGTCTCTCCCAAACATTTTTTCATTTTATCCCATGTACTTAATGATTTTCCCCAATCAATTCTTTTTCCTCTATAGCTTAAGAAAAAGTCTTTTTCTTACATGTCTGTCCTTGAGTATACGTGTTCCAATACATAAGGTGACTATACAGATGCAGCATATTCCTTTACCGTAAAGTAAAATAAACTCTGAACTAGATTATGTCCCTATTTTCATAACTAATGAAAAGAGAGAGATAGGACTATAAACCATAGTTATAAAAGTAGATGCAGAACTTTTTATTCACATACCTGAACTGTCTGGACTTGTGGAGACTGAATAACTGATGGCTGGGCCGCCTGAATAACTCCATGGACTTGAACTGTCTGCCCATTGGGCAGCTGTACTAATGTTACGGTGGGAGCAGATGATGTTGCATGAGCTGCTGGCATAGATACCTATTGTGTTGAACATGGAAAAAAATTACCATCACAGATACCTTCTTGGGAGTACTCATGTTCCTATAAAGCAAGATTTTAGCAGCAAAAAGATGACCTTTTTGCTTGATAATTATTTCACTGGTGTAAAAGAAACTAATCATTAAATTTAACATTCTTAAAAAAGAAAAAGACTACAAATGCCTCCCCCACCCCACTCTTCAACTCCTTCCAAATGACCAAAACCAAAACACTATTTTAATGTAATATCAATATATTGGGTTGGCCAAAAAGTCCATTACATTTTTTCCATACAATGGCTCTAGTGGTGCTTAGTTGTTTTTACCTTCAAAACAATTGTTAGACTGTATTGTGACAGCTGTCATATCATATGCATTGAAAAAAAACTTACCAAGTCGGTGAATTTTTGTGCAGCCATTTTAATATTGAAAATGGAAGAAAATAGGCAACATTTTTGGCGGATCATGTTTTATTATTTCAAGAAAGGTAAAAATGCAACTGAAATGCAAAAAAAGATTTGTGCAGTGTATGGAGAAGGTACTGTGACTGAACAAATGTGTCAAAAATGGTTTGTGAAGTTTCTTGGTACTATCGACATTTTGTCCAAGTGATTCTGTGCTGTGGGGCTGTCTTATGCATTGGAAGCTGTTTAGCAGCACCCTTGGCCTCTACCCACTAGAAGCCAATAGCAGGAGATAGCAGACATACTGAAAATATCCACATCAATAAAGTTATTAGTAAAAATGAAAAATGTGTCTCATTTTATGGAAAAAATGTAACAGACTTTTTGGCCAAACCAATATGTAACAGACTTCCTTTGAACACTAAATACTACTTTATTTGTATGGGGTTTTACATTTTCCCACCTGCTTTCATATACAATTTCTCATTTTGCTTTTCAAAGATATTAAAACTGGGTAATCAGGATTATTTCCATTTTAGAAACAGAAATATTAAGTGCTCAAAGAGATTAAGCAATTTACTGAAGGTCAGGAGATATGCTAGACTTTAAAAAACATAAAAGTCTTCTTTATATCATGTGTTAAATAAGCCATGTTCTAAAATATAACTGCTGTCAATCTTGGGCAAAATTAGCTAGTATGTCTTGAACAAATACACACTTTATAATATGCAGTATAATTTTCTCTATCTTAAACTAATTACAAGTATGCCGTTCATAAATAAGAAAGTATTAACAGGAATTATAATCTGAAAATTTCTCCCCCCCGACCCCTGCCAGGTAAATCCTGAAACTCGTAATAGCTGGTATTTTAAAGATTTCCCTCTTGAAGGAATAAAGCAGCAGAATTTAAAAAATATAAGAGAAACCAATTTTTTCCTGAGGCACAAAGAAGGCAATTTTAATGAGTCAATATCTAGGTACAAAGGGCTCTACATGTCTATTAGATGGTACTTCACTGTTCCTATGCTTGTACACATTTAGGGGTAGGGACTGTATTTGCCCATTTAGTAAAGTTACTGGGGACCTGTCTGTGAAGAGCAATGTTAGATTTGAAACTACAAAAATGAGAAAGACATAGATCCTTGCCCTTACGGAAATTACTGGGGTGTGTGTGTGAAGAAATGGGGAAAAGAACAGAAATATAATTCAATGAAGTAATGAGGTCTGCAAAGATAAAAATGAACATACTGAGAGCTAAACCACCCCACTTAAGAGAGGAGGCTACCAGGAAAGAATGTGAATTTTAAACAAAGAAAACAAGTTAGAAATGGTAATATAAGCACAGAATTCCAAGGAGAGAAGCTAGCATTGGCAAAAGCAAAGAGAAAGAGTATGATCTGTACACAGCAGAGAGGGACAACAAGCACTTAAGTGTTTTACTCTATGATGTAGAAGGGGGGACAGATGAAATAACAGAGGCAGGGAGGGGCTAGATAGATTGTACTGCTACTCATGAAGGATCTCAGTACATCATATTAGAGAACTTGCACTTTATCATGAGGAGACTGGGAAAGGCATTGAAGGGTTTTGAACTCCCAAATAGCATGGTTAGGTTTGCATTTTAAATAGATGTGTTTTGTGGCATGGTGAAGAATACTTAGGTCACAGGAACAAAAAACTGCAGGCAAAGAGAACAACTGAGAAAGCCTATTACAGTAGTTAAGGTGAGATGATGAAGGGCAGAAAGAAGGCACTAGATGTGGTAGAGATGGGAACAAGAGAAGTGATTTAACGGAAAATTCAGGAGGTAGACCAGTAAGGGCTATATGACTGACTGACTGAAGCAGGTGAGAGAAATCAACGATGATCCCCGTATTTCATGTATGGGTAATGACTGGGAGACTATGTTATCAATTGTAACAGAGAACACAAGAAGGAAGACCTTTTGGGTGGTTGGGGTGGTGGTGGAAGATGACAGAACTGATTTGACATCTGAATTTGCAGACATTTAGCAAGCAGTTAAAGATCCCTATTAGGGTAGAAGTTAAAACCATAAGCTTTCCATCTTTGGACAATTAATCACTATTTAATCACTTTCTTGCTGGCCACTATAAATCTTGTTTAGTTTTACTGGTTCTCAAAATGTGATCCGTGGACTACACCTCCGTTTAGAGTCACATAGGGTTACATAGAGTTACACCCAAAGACACTTTTCCCTACACTGAACCACAACCTTAAGTTATTCAGAGTATTTCATCTCAATTCCATAAAAAAGCTCTTCCAATATGTGAAGCAATCAGTATGTCCTTTCTGAGTATTCTCTAGGGTGAATATTACATGCTAACTCAATGAATAATCCCCTTTTACCCTGATCATTCTACATAATGACTCTTCTCATTATAAGTTTATAAAATACAGATACACAAAAATAAGATAAAAATCACTTATATTCCTACCACTCAGAGCTAATTACTTTTAATATTTTTGCTTTAGATCTAGGTGTTTTTAAAGGTACAAATATACACCCAAGTTTTAAAACTCATTATCATGCAATCTAATTTATCTTTCAAATCAATTCTAAATACCTTTCCATTCTATTAACAGTCTTCTTTGTTTTAATGGAGGCATAATAGTAAAAATTATAATTTATTCGATAAACTCATTACTGCATATTTAGGTTGTCAAATTTGGATACTTCAAGAAGTTAAAACTATCATCCTTTTATCCAATTCTTTAGTTAAGTCCATAAAAATTTATATTCTCATAATCAAAACCAACATTTTTTACTCAAAAAAATCTGTGTAAATTAAAAGTAAATTAAGACATCTCATCATCGTTTTAGATTTTTTTCTTTAAACATTTAGTTTTCCTATTTATTAAATCACAATGATCTTGGATTTGACAATTTTATTCTATTTCTCTAGTTATTAAAGATTGACAATAGACCTGACCGGTGTGGCTCAGGTGGTTGAGCGTTGTCCCTCAAAGCGAAAGGTCGCCAGTTTAGTTCCTGGTCAGAGCACATTCCTGGGTTGCGGGCCTGGTCCCCAGTTGGGGTGTGTGCTGCAACCCATTGATGTTTCTCTCCCTCTCTTCCTCCCTCCCTTTCCCCTTCTCTCTAAGAATAAATAAATAAATTCTTTAAAAAAAGACTAACAATAAAAAACAGTAGGTATCAGAATTATGAGAGGAAATTATATCAAAATGTATGATGTACATGTTAAGAACATGGATGAACAAGTGAAAAAAACTCTGTAATTAAGGAAAGAAACAAAAAAATATATACAAATAGAAATGAGTTTTCCTAAAACTCAAATATGCCATTCTGCTTTTAGAAGCCTTAAGTGTAGAGGACTGCTTAGTAAGAATGACATACTGCACATGAATATATAATTGTGTTACTTTCCTGAATCTCCAATTAAACTTCATGAAACTGATTTTGTTTTTTACAGGCATATTCATGGAAGCATAGAAGAATGGGAAAGAGTAAGAATTTTGGAGGCTGGAAATCAGACAAATGAATGGTATTAACTTTGGAAGACCTCAGAAAGCCATCCAAGAGGAGGAGGCAGGGAAAGCGTGATTTGCACCACAAAATCCTCCTGTGGCCCAGGATCTAAGAAACCCTGGAAGGTGGGCAGCTGAAAACAAGGAAGGCCATTTCAGAAGCAATGGGATCCTCTCCTCAGCTCCCTGTGGGGAGGACAACTAATGTGTCTCCTGTGCTGACAGAGAAGTAGAGATTTATTTTCTGGATAGAGGGTCTCCCTTGACTTGCGCTAACACCAAGGATTTGCTGAAGGTGGGGTACTAAACCTTTGTTGTCTTCTCGCTTGGCTCCCAGGCCTTTACTGTACAATCCGGGTAATAGTAAAGCTTTTTCTGGGGAACCTGACAAACACCAATGGCCAGAAGAAAAACTTAGAAGAATCTGCCACACTGAACCTAAGTGAAGCTCACAACTCGTAATGTTAGACCCCAAATGTATCCACACAGCTTTTTGGTCCCCAACTTCTACATCTGAGCAGACAGCCACTAGTTATTGAGGAAAGCTTCTAATATGAGAGATGGAGACCAGAACAAACAGAAGGGGGAAAAAGTGATAGAGGAGAATCTATATGGGGAGGAGAAAATGTAAAGCAAAACAAAAAACAAAAACAAAAAACCCCTAATTAATATTCTCCTATAAGAGAAAATATTGCCCTTGTGAAATATAAACAGGATGCTATTAAAACACAAAAGGATTATTCAGAGAACAAAAGGAACCCTTAGAAACATGACAGAATAAAAATTTTAACACATGGGTTGGAACGTGAATTTGAGGAAATCTCTTAGAAAAGAGAACAAAAAGACAGAGATTAAAAAACAGGAAAGAAGAGATGAGAAAATTAGATAAACAGTCCTATAGGTATAACACCTGTATCACAAGGATCCTAGAGAAAAAAGAGAAAAAAAATTGCCAACCAAATAATTTAAAGGAATTGTCCAGAAGTAAAAACACGAGTTTCCACTATAAAAGGGCCCACTGAATACAAAGGACAATGGATGAAAATTATCCAAATCAAGGTCCTAATAAGTCGATAATGAGATAATGAAGCAGTATAGTCAAGACGAGATTTTTTATAAGATACCAGAGATACAAAATAAGAAAGTATTTAGTCTTTCAAACAGCAACACTGGCCTTCAAAATTTGAAAGAAAAATGGTTTCTTTATGAAGAATTCTTTATTCAAACTTGCTCAAGAAACCACTGGAGAATGTGTTTTACTATCTAAAGAACACAAACCTCTCAAGAGAAAGTCAGTAGGGGGGAGGAATTTCCAGAATGATATTATATAGCAGACTTATATAGTATCAAATGGACATCCGGACCAGAGAGAATAGTGTGACCCAAGAGAAAGATACGTTGAAGGTTGTCACCGTCAAGATCCTCATTGGTGTTGTAAATTCTCACTAGAGGACCAAATGCTTGGATGAGCCCAGATTCTTATCTGTTTATGCTTTCCTTGACCAAGAATGATGAAGTCTGGCTCTCCCACTTTGTTCCTGCACCTGCCTCACCGAGTACATTAACTTCATCCCTAAGGGTCTTCTGTTCCTAACAGCTGGAAGTGAGCCTTGGTGATCTTAGGAGAAATCAGAGCAGCCCACTCCTTCTGCTGGACTACAGTTCTGCTGGAGGTCCAGTTTTTGGCCCACACTTTAGCTCAGTGTGGTAACTATCTGTGGTTAGCCCTCTATTTGCCAAGACCCTATTCTTGCTCAGTGACTCCTCCGGGAGAGCTTTAAAACTCTTTGGAAAGCTGATACTCGACATTCCAGAGCCTCTGCTAGGATTACTTTCTCCTGGGAACCTTTACCTGAAAGAGGCAAAATCATACTTTTACCTAGCAGGTTTATGCCTGCTATTTGGTTTTTATATTAACCACCTTTCTCATATATATTCAGATAGTTAATAAAATATTTGAGGAAAAATATAACATACAAGAAAAAAGGAAGAGAATATAACCTTAGATATAGAATGTTTCAAAGACAAAATGAAAGAATTATGAATTACATTTGAAATATACAGAAAACAGAAACTATCACCCTTGAAATGTACTTGTGTGTCAATTAATGTACTTATCCTATTTTTTTGGTTTAAGCACATGTAAACTTAGCTTTTCAGGTTATCTGCATTTCCATGTCCCAAAATAAATGTGGTATGAAAAAAATTATATAGTTTTCTTCCCTTAAGAGATACAATCAATCTACCCATCAGTTAAAATGTCATCAGTTTTGAATCATGTTGCTACAAATAGTGTATCAGTGTTTAACAATACATTTTTTTGTGTTATATTACTGAATACTGTCATTTCTAAAATTAGGCTAATACTAACTAAAATACTGATATTCTAAGAATGTCTCTGCTCATTCTACGTATATCTCTGTAAAACAAAAAAAAAACCCTAAATTCTCTGGCCTAAAACATAATCCTCTTGGAAGAGATGCAACTCGGAGTCTCTCCATGTATTTTATACCTGGGCTAATGTGGCAATCTGTGGCTGGGCTTGAACTGTCATTTGTTGGTTTTCAGCTTCTGTTACAGCTGCATCTCCACTCTGCTGGTTCTCTGCTCCAGATTCCATGGTCATTTAGTCACCTACAATAATATGGAAGAGTGTTACAAGCACTACAGTGCTTTGTGCTTTTGTGACTTTAAAGGCAAATTTCACATTATATATGTATATGTGGTGGTTAGGTTAGCAAATGCACTCAGAAATCTATTTAAAATACAATGTAGTTCAATTATAACAAAACTTGTCCAAATTTGCTGAGCTGTAAAAGTTTTAGTGCCTTCAAAAAAGAAGAAACTTTTTCCCTTGCCATTTCTTCACAATGAGGTACTCTATCTAGATCCAAGAAGGTATTCATTCTTCTCTTCCATGAATCTCCCCTACAAACAAGGGGAGCAGGAGTGACAGCAAAGTTGTAATTTCTTCAAACTGTATCAATTAGGTATAAAGAAAGGACAGAGTAGAAATGAGCTGATGACATCATCTATGACATACTGGCTTCACAGTACATCCTCTAAAGGTATTCCCTATTATAGGGAGGAAACAGAAAAATTATAAGATACTTCCACAGGAAATTACTGGAGGTAGGACAAAATCAGCACATGTCTCAAGAGCTCAGGCTGCAGGGTATCAAGAAAGAAAGGTAGGATAATTATCCACAGAGCCAAATTAGAGGTTCCAGTCACTGAAAACATTAGTGCTCTGATTCTTCCTCTCCCTATGTATAGTATGCAACACTGTGTTCACACACACAAAGAAATTTTAAATTTTAAATTGCAAAGTTGTGGGTAATGTAATTAAGGTTAAACTTTTTTATTTTTGGACCCTTCTCGCATCTCTGGGCCACAATGGAAGAAGAAGAGCTGTCTTGGGCCACACATTAAATACACAAACACTAACGAAAACAAACAAACAAAAAAATCTCATAATGTCTTAAGTAAATTTATGATTTTGTGTTGGGCTGCATGTGGCTGGCAGGCCATGGGTTGGACACCCCTGGCTTAGTATATTTTTTGGATAATCTGGCACTGGATGGCAGCAAAATTAAATGGAAGGCAAATCTTAGCAACAGCTACACATGAAGGTTAGAGAAATTTCTGATAACTGGGGAAGCTACCATGTGTAAAGCATTCACAATGAAAGGGATTACTTCTTACTTGTATACTACTGTTATCAGTCAGTGCTTAGCATATTACCTGTCAAACATGGATTTATTAATAGTAAGGATTACCCACAGTGATTCCGTAAATAACACAAAACCCCAAATGCTTTTCCAGAATTTATTCCATTTATTTTATAACTCTAAAAATAATCAAAATTGTCATTGTTCCTTATGTGATTACCACATCCCAGCAGAATGTATCACATACCAGTACATTTTGCCATCATTTACAGGGTTCTATTAAAAAGTGTTTTACAAGTGTCAGTTAAAAATGAAAATAAAAATATCTCTGGAAATGAATATAGTTTAGAAATACAGAATCCATGAAACAGATAACAAAGGAAAATGTCAACAACTACATAATTATTTAAAACATTTATGTGGCAAAAGGCATTAAGACAAGTGCACAGGGAGAAAATATCTACCACATATAATTAACACAATAACATCCATAATACAGCGAAAGTACTCTTCAATAAGAAATCTTATTGAACTATTACTGACTAGTTCACAAAGATTTGTTCAAGGAAATTTTTTATAATAGCAAAAAACTAGAAACAAGTATCCATCATTACGAGAACCATTAAGGAAATTACAGCAGTAAAAAAGAAAGATGTCTATAATGTAATAACACATAAAGCTTTCCAAGACAGAGTGAAATGATGAGCCATGGAACATACTATAAAATAGATCCCTTGCTTAGGTTAAAAACAAGTAAACCAAATTGTTGCAAAGCTGTATACATGGAAAAAGATATAGGAAGTTATGTACTAAACTGTAAGATATAGGAAGTTATGTACTAAACTGTAAGTGTAGCTATAAATAGAGGGAGATTTAGTAGACGTGTATAGAATAATGACTTTCACCTCTTTTTATATATTTTAGTATTACTGTTTTATTCCCATGAGCAATATCAGGATTACCTGTACAATGTAAAAAATTTTAATACCAGAAGTCATGGATAACATTTTGAAACTATGAACCAAAAACTGTGTTTCAGTCATGATTCTGAGATACCTGTTAACAAAAAATTTATAAATACCAGATACTTTTTACACATTATTATTTTTGTTTAAACTTTGCCTAATTGTTTACATTTCCAAAGAGTAACTATTTTTAAAAATTATCAAACAACTTTGATTATCATTTATGATAATGTATTAAGTTGTTTATACTTACAATCTATGCTCTTTTAAACTAAAAAATTTAAGAAAGATATCAAAAATAATAGAAGGCAACAGAAACAAAAGACAAGTTATGTACCCCAAATGTTGTGCATACTTCTGGTCTGAAGAAAATGGATGTGAAAATATAAAACCTAACTTTAGTAACCATAGGTAAATGAATCCATTTGAGAACAATACTGAGTCAAACCAAGAGCAGAAATCCCTTTACTTTTCTACTCTTTCTCCCCAGTCATCATGTTAATGAAATGGAAGATAAATACAACTTATCATCATAATACCTCCTTTGTAGACACAGTATATGCAACCATTTTTAAAATACTTTATTTATAGCCACAATTTTCTAAACTAAGCTGCCGCTTAGTTTTACTCCACCTTTCAATTAAATGCAATCTAAGCACAGATTTTATACATATATATATAGTTTTATCTTAACATATCTGGGTTACTTAACTTTTTTGACATTTAAGACATAGGGTATCATTACAACTTTTGTTTTAGAAACTATGACTGTATTTTAATAAAGGAACAAAGCCATTACCTAACATAATTATAGCTGCATTCAAGACAGAAATGTGACTTGCATCCTTCTTCCCTCCCCAACTAGATAATATTCTTTCTTTTAAAAACAAATTTTGGGCCTGGTTGGTGTGGCTCAGTGGATTAAGCGCAGGCCTTCAAACCAAAAGGTCGCCGATGGTTTGATTCCCAGTCAGAGAACATGCTTAGGTTGTGGGCAAGGTCCCTGGCTGGTGGCATGTGTATCTCTCACACACTGATATTTCTCTCTCTTTCTCCCTCCCTTTCCCTAAATAAATAAATAAATAAATAAATAAATAAATAAATAAAAATAAAATAGAGTGACATTTACAATAAATAGGATCCTCCATGTAAACTGCCAGTATTTTATATCGTCATCATTTTATTCAGGCAGACTACCAATCTTTTTTTAGAGGAGGGAATAGCCTTCTTTTTATACTCTTAGCTTGAGTAGATACCAATCACTGGGGTACCATACAAATACTGTCTTTCATCAGAAAATTCAGACCTTTCTCAAAAATGGAGGTGAGAATCATTTTAAAAAGAACCACCTGTATCTGTCCTGGCTGGTGTGGCTCAGTGGATTGAGCACTGGCCTGAAACCAAAGGGTCACTGGTTCAATTCCCAGGCAAGAGTACATGTCTGGCTGTGGGCAAGGTCCCCAGCTGGGGATGTGCAAGAGTCAACCAAGTGATGTATCTTGATATATCTCTTACACATTGAAGTTCTTCTACCCCTCTGTCTCCCTCCCTTCCCCTCTCTCTAAAAAGTAAGCAAAATCTCTTTTAAAAAGTTTTAAAAATAAATTAGAAAAAAAGAACAACTTGTATCAGATGAGAAACTCACTCATCGCCCAACTAAAATAGACCCTATTCTTTGGTTTTCACCCAGAAGGTACTAAAATAGCAATATCCCAACTAGACTAAACTAGTACCTGAAGTAGTGCATTAATTATGGACTTTGAAAACTTTTGTTCTTTTTGTTTATATCTTCAGGTACAGAGAGAAGAGATGCTATGGTATCGTGTGTACCATCTTCATTTTTCTATTAACCCAGCAGCAGTCTAGCCAGCAGTGCCGTACCCAGACACAGGGTTAATTACAGAGCCAAAATGTAGGTTTCCAAAGCTGTTTAAAGAAAGGAGAGTCCTACTTAATTTATTACACAAATCAATGCTTTCTGGTTGTAAAACAAAAGCAAAAAAGGACTGAATGATACTATAAAGTAAGAAAAAGACCATGGCCATAAGAACTCAGAGAAAATGGTGTATAAATAATGGGCCTGGAACATTAGAAACAGATTGGATCTTAGAAATCACTGAAAATCTAGTATTAGCTTGACAGTTTTCTGATTCTTGTTCTTCCAGTAATTATGAATTTTAAAAGTTATTTGGGTTCAATATTTAAGATGTGGGGATTTTCACAGTTTATCCTTAAAAATTAGCATAATCCTTTGGAAAATAATTTATAACAAATAGTGTTATACTTAAGACAAACAAAAAACTTTAAACCAACTCAGAAAGATACGTATCATGCTATAATGATCTGTGTTCTACTTATGAAAAATAAAGCGCGAAGTGATTCTGTAGTATTATTCATCCAATCTTAAGAGAAATAATGAATGCTGCTTTAAGTAGTTGAGAAAGGGAATTCTGGATCTGTCACCAAGTAGTTGTTGGACAAATGAAACTTTTTGTGTTTTAATTTCTTCATCTGTAATATGGGGGATGGATTAAAATGTTTTAAATGCTCTGATCCTAGGAACTGACACAACAAGGCGTATGTACACACACACATAATCATGCAGGCCCTTTAATATTGTATTTTAGTAAAGGAAGTATTTCTCATATATATGATAAAAGACGATTGACTAAGACTAGGTCATCAAGCTTCTCCAATGTGGGCAAATACAGTATTACCACTCATTTACATACATAAAATCTTGATAATGCAACACAACTGGAGAGTTTTTTACTCTTTGTATTGCTCTCGTCCTAGTTGTTATAGTTATTAAAAAGTTTAATAGTCCCTTTTATTAATTTCCAAAGATAAAGAAATTTCTTTCAATCTTAGAAATCTTCAAGGTAATAGCCCCTTTTATTAATTTCCAAAGATAAAGAAATTTCTTTCAATCTTAGAAATCTTCAAGGAACTTATCTGAGTAGGGCTATATCACTTTTGTACCCTTTACACCGTAAGA